TAAAATAGTAATAATACATAAGAGTATACTAGTAATATTAGGTTTGGCAATAACTTTCCTTTCATAATTCTTACATTCATAGCAATAGCCTCACCTATAATTAGTTTTTGAATGGGATAAGAAAATTTGTAAACTTTTTTCAGAATCTTGTCATCAAGATTAGTTATGGAAATTTATTTCTGACAGAAATTGAAGACAGTCTTTTTAGAGTTAAGTTATTTTTTATTATCAAGATTAGTGATCTTGTGATATGTTTCTAATATTAATGCAAGTATTTAATGAGTAAAGAATTATAATAAAAAATATTATTAAGCAAGCATGATACCTATAAGACCAAACTCTTTAGCTATTATTTTTTTAAGCTTACTATGGAAGGATTCTAATGGATTAGTCAAGATGACTTACAATAGGAGGGATGAATGTTATTATATCCAGAGTACCTATTTTTCTATATTTCTGATATAATTTTAATTAATATAATTGATGATATCAAATATAGAACAAGCAGTAATAATATTATAAATAATCTCTTCATAGCCAATTCTTATTTATTTATGCATAGCCAAGATCAATTAATTACGTATTACTAGATAATAAACCTTACGCAGTTATGTACATATCATATATACAGTACAAAGAATTATATCACAATTTTATTTACTATATATGATTTCTGAAAAAACATTCATGATGTTGTTAATTTTTATACTGCTTTGATCAAAGAGCATATATCAAGAGTGCCAATAAGATATAAGTTTATGAATTATTTTTAGCACTTTAGTAATTATACCACTATCTTTACTACTTATAAGAAAATAAGTATCAACATTCTAGTATTCATGACTATTATAAATATATAGTATGAAGAGATACCATGAATATTTATTGGTATTATGTGTGAAGTCTATGAGTATTAGCTATTTAAAAAGTTATAATTTTTCCAACTGTCTGGAATTTGCAAAAATAAAAACTTGAGATAATTTTTATATGATATTATATATGTTTGCATATATATTATTTTATATTAAGAAGTATTTGACTTGATAATCCTTGCTTATTAAAAAATTAAGTGCATTTTTAATATCAGCTTCTAGATCATGTTTGTCAATAAGATAAGCTATCAGTAATCCACATAGCTTTTGTTAAATATTTGTGACTTTAGTTTTGTATAGATTTTGAACTATAATATCAAGATCTTCTTTACTCATGATCTCTTTGATCATAGTTATGATGGTAAGTGAAGTATATAATTTACTTGCTTCATTAGCTACTAATTTTTTAATGATTTCAGGTTACTTAATCTTGTTATTATTGTTAATTGAATGTGTATGATTCAGCATATTTTTAAAATACTCAATTTTGATTATTTGAAAAGTAATAATATATGTTATCTTAATTTTTGCGTTGTATTCACCAGAATCATGCTTACTTATTTTTCTTTATTTTTCTATGGGAATATCTTCTTTATATATGCTCAATTTATTATATTTTGCAAGATAATAGATATAGATGATCCAAAAATCATCATTAACATACTTCTAACTATTATATCATATCCATATGTTAGAAATAAGTAGTTATAAGTCCTCATAAAATTCTTTTTCTGAGATCTTAAATGATATATCAACATTAAATAACTTTGCATATTTTTAATTGATCACTTGTAACATAATTAAAATAAAAATATTAGAAAACTTAAATAAGAATGATGGATGAATATAAAATGATAAAATGAAAAAGTTGGCAAACTAAACTAGAAAAAAAAATAAATAAAAAATTGTAAAAATGTTGAATATATGTATTGAATGAGTATATGATAGAGAAATAAAATGAAAAGTATATGATATTAGAAATGACAAGTATGTATAGAATTGGTTTCTTATATGTTATTATTATAATACTTATAAAGAATATATGATATTAGAAATAGTGAGTTATTATAATGCTTATAGCTTGTATTTGATATCAAAAATATATTCTTAATAATCTTAGTCCTTTTTCCCTTCTCTCTTAAAAAAAATAACATTGTCTTGTAATAAATAATATTTATCAATATGTTTACTACCATAATTTGCTATTTAGAATATCCTAGGTATGTTCCATTCTACAGGCTGAAATCTGATTTGTATCTGGGGGAGTACATTGTCTAGCAGTGGATACACTAAAGTGAGGGATTTGTATTTGGAGAATATGATATTGAGAGGGTATAATTCATGGTGAGTACAACACACAAATATGCTAATTGATCTTTCCTTTTTTCTAAATGTGTAAACTTTTTTGATTTTCTCTTTTTCTAAATATGTAATAATTTTTTCTTTTTTTAAATGCATAATAATTTTTCAGTTTATAATATTAGTAAAGTATCCTTTGTATTAAATTAAAATTAAGTTTTTAATTGCTAGTCTAACCAAAAGTATAATAGAAAAATGATGCATTATACCAAAAATATGACAAATACTAAAACTAAAAAATGCAATTAGAGTATACACAAAAAATTGGCCATACTTGCTTATCTCAATAATAAATCTGGTACTAGCAAATATAATACAGCAGAAAAATTTAATATTCAGCCTAAATAAATCCAAGACTGAATATATAAATATGAAGAATTAAAGTATTTAAGATCTCAAATAAAATGACTTACTCCTGATATGAGACCCTAATATTTAGTATTAGAGAATGATCTTATTATTTGGATAAGATTCTTATGTCAAGAATAAAAGATTGTATCACATTTTATGATTCATTCTAAGACAAAATCTTTGGCAGAAAGATCATGCTTTCTTGTAATTTATCCAAATATTGGTGATTATAAATGAAGTGATAAGTGGTTGGATGGATTTATGAATCATTATCATCTTAATATTCAGCATCATACTATAGTTTTACAAAAATTACTAAGCGAGTTAGAGTTAACACAATATCAATTTTAAGTTTTGTGTTATATCAACATATTCAATATAATTATCCTTTGATATTAATTAGAAATATGGATGAAATACCACTTATCTTTGATATTCCTAATAATATAACTATTGAAAAAACTAGTGCAAGCACTGTTAGCATTCAGATAATAGGATACAAAAAATTCAATTTTATCATTATATCAGCATGTATGACTGATGACAAAAAGCTATTTCCAGTATTAATTTTTAAATTGATTAATATTTCACATCAAAAGTTTTTAGCTGAAGTAATAATTTGTATCAATTGAAAAGGATATATGAATAGTAATGAAATGATTTGGTAGATTGAAAATATATGAAGTTAACATATATCATTATTGAATAATCCATACTTCTTATTGATCTTGAATTCTTTTTATGATCATTTGACTGATCCTATCAAAAATCAACTTAATGAAAAAAATACAAATATAACTATAATTCCAGGTAGCTTGACCAATAAACTTTAACCATTAGATGTATATATAAACAAATCATTTAAATCAAAGATAAAATTAGATATTTTTGTATTATTTATTTGATATATTAACTTATATATTTATTTATTATAGTATCGTCAATTATATAATAATTAAATAGCAGAAAAAACAAAAAAATTAACATTTTCCAGCTGCATATAACATCCAAGTTACAGTATTATTGCTAAATAGGTAAAAATTATATGGGATCAAGTTGATACTTATCTTATTAAGCGCTCATTCAAATATTGTAATATCTCTAATGCCCATGATGAAACTGAAGATAATCATATTTTTGATTATGATTAGGTTGAACAACCTCAAAGATTTAATCAAAATTCTATAATTGAAAATGAAGATAATAATTCAGAAAATGAAGATAATTTGAAAAATAATTTGAAAAATAAAGATATTAATTCAGATATCAATTTAACTGAAGATAATAATATAATATTACAAAATCATCCAATTGATAGTTTTGAAGATGAGTATTATGATATTGAAACAATAGATTTTATAAATGTATGAAATTAGACTTAAGTATATTATTGATATAAAATAATATACCCAGGTATATTATTAGGAAAATATAAATTTATAATGTATTCAAATATAATACATTTTACCAATATGAATTAGACCCGGTACAATTCATGGGGGGTATGATGTTATAGGAAGGTATTCTAAATGGCAAATTACGGTATATTCTTGTAATAAACAAAATTTTTTTCTTTCACATGTGAAAATGACTTGCAAATCGGATCAAATCAACCCAGATCATATCTGAATTGACTCGATCCGAATTGCACTACCCGGCTTTAGTGTTCCCCTTGATTTTGAAATTTTTTTATGCTATGAATATATTCGAAGATAGCCGCCACACAATATATCATCGTATTTCCGACCGAATTGAAAATCCAAACATTGATCACGTGTAATGTCACATGATTGGTACACTTTCCGCAACATGGACTTCCGGCACCATATCGGCGTATGTGTGTGAATGTAAGCTCCAAGGTAAGCATAAATAGTTTCGCAAGCTGAAACTGGGAGATTAATGTAACAAGTAGTATACAATTTTGTGCCGTCCACCCGTCCCGGTCACCAAGTTTATATAAATATTAGGTAGCTTTTATTGCATGCTAATGGGAGGTGATTTGATTATATTGTGCTTTATTTTTATGGGATTGCAAGGAGATTAACATTCAAGAAAACAAAATCGATTTCTTAGGTTTACAAATAAGAAAGATTAAACGCAAAATTTTTATTATCCTAGATGAAGTCCAAGAGGGGATCAGGATTTATTGTCTCAAATTTTTAAAAACAGATGGTTTCAAAGCGAAATGACAAGCAAAAAGGCAAATTTGATTTCTTGGACTTGAAAACATGTTTTAGAAAAGATAGGGCTATACAAAAAGAAAATTGCTAGAACACGCTTGAAACTGATTTTATTGAAATGTGCCAAGAAGCCTAATTTTCTACTAAGGTTTCAAGAATAATAATCCTGATAATAATAATCAGAATTAGATATTTATGTGATTATTATAATATTTAACAGTTCTGATATATCGCTTTCTCATACCCGAAGCGCCTGCTCCACGCTTGCTTTGAATTTTTCGACTTGTTCTGCACAGTTTAATGGTTGATTGATGTTTTCTTTTTTACTTTTTTGATTTAAAAAAATTTAGTATTTATACTTAAAATGATATCATAGAGCATATAAACTTACGTGTAACATCTTATTAAGGATCTTTGATGCTCTATTACGGTGGTGGGAGTTGTCACCTCAAAAGATCTTTCATTTTTGACGTCAAAGGATATGTCGTGCAAAATCATTAATTATTAAAAAAAAAAAGATAAAATCTTTACCGTCGAATTCTCTGCTCCAAATTCTCAATTTCCTCATTTATTCTCTTAGAGTGCAGTCTTGGATCATAATCCATATGATCATCAAATCTGAATAACCTTGATAATTCAGCATCTATTTCGCGCTGAATTTCCGTATCAAATTCTTCGCGATGTCGTAGTTCTGCCGCGACTCTTTCGCGTATTATTTCTTCCAACTTGTCTGTTGTGATGCAGATAGTAGAGGTTGTTGATGTTGGTGATGATGGAGATGGAGATTGCGGAAACTGCTAAAAGTTTTTTTTTGATTTGTGAAAATAATTGAATGACACAGATACTGATACAATAGACACATAAAATAAAGAAATAATCTCTCACTAACTCTTGGCTCTCGAAGCTGATTAACCAGGCTGTGTGAAAACTAAGAAAACTAATCAATTAATTTGATTTTAGATATAGATATTATTTCAAAGCTTATATGGGCAGCCGTCAATAGAAGAAATCAAGCAGATTTATTAGAGTAATCTGCTTGATTTCTTCTATTGACGGCTGCCCATATATATATTATATATTAATGATTTATATCAAACAATATTGATTATAAGGCGGATTCCCGACAATCAATTTCACACAAGGTGCTTATAATAGTATTTAAATTTATTTCTCATTAAAATATCGTGAAGATACAAACCCGAAGTCGTACTTCAGGTTCATTATAAATCATTATTGGTTCATTATTGTGTTTTGAAGAAGTGCCACCCATTGTTGCTCTGTTTTTAACTGAAGGGTTGTTATTTTCGTATCTTGAAATAGAATTTTAGCCAATCATCTCAAAAACTATATATGGTAAATTCAACTTTCATTCATTAATTCTTCATCATATATTGCTATTCCGATAAAGACGCGTAAAAAATGTAAAAAATGTCCAGTCTTTTTCATAAATAATGTATTAAGACGCGTAAATATGAATATCTAAGCATCTCTCGGTTTATAACTAAGCTAAAAATATAATACAGCTAGATAATACAGTTAACTTATTATCATTAATTCAATTTTTCTATTGCATCTATTGTTGCTGCTGTTGTTGAAACGGCAGTGGATGAGGAATTATTTGAGGGTGCGTTGGTTGCTTTACTTTTTTTCTTGCCTCCTCCTTTCTTAGTAGAGGCAGCACCGGATGTTGTTACTCCGCCGCCAAACTTTATACGAAATTCTTCTGCCTTTTTATCTTCAATTCGTTTGAACAAATATTCTGGCTTCCCAATTTGATGCTCCGCATAAATATCCATAGTCCATTTATCTGGAATGTTTCTCGGCGGTGCATTCAGTTGCCTCAAGATAGAAACACTAGTCGAGGGCATATAGGGAGAAAAAATAGCGGAAAGCAAGTAGATTAAATTTAACGCGACACCAATCACAGTACCACATTTCTCAGGATTATTCGCAAAAAGCGCGTTATCCAGTTTAGATTCTTGCAAATAATGGTTCCCAATTCGTGATATTTCCATGGCAATATCGAGCCCTGCACGAAGTTTTACATTCTCAAGGGTTTGGATGTATAATGCGAGTTGGGTGTTTACCGCCTCGATTAACGTTTGTTCGTGAATATCGTGTGTAGAGTATGTTGGCACTTTGCTGTTGTATTTTGCTACGGTGAATTTTATTATGCGATTTACAAAGTTTCCCAGATTAGCGAGTAATTCATTGTTATTTTTCGCAATGAATTCTTTCCATGTGAACATGGAGTCGTTGGTCTCTGGACGACTGGAAATCAAGTAGTAACGCCAAACGGCTACAGGAATTTCGGTCTCTTTGGCATTATTGCCAAATACGCCGATATTACGTGATTTCGAAAATTTGTCATTTTCATAATTTAAATATTCTTTCAAAAGATAGTCTAATGTTAATTAATGCTCATTAAAAAATAAAACTAGAAGAAAAACAAATAAATACCAGTTGTATTGATGTGATGAAGTAACGTCCACTTTTCATTTGTTCCAATTAATGAACTTGGAAAGATGACAGTATGAAAAGGAACATTATCTTTTCCCATAAATTGATATAACTTCACGTCTTCTTGATTTTTCCACCATGCTTCCCAATTTTCTGTATAGTTTGCTGTTATTGAGAGATATCTAAAAGCAATTATTGCAATTTATTATATAGGTTATATGAAAAATATATACATTTTCTTTTTCATGTACGCGAAATCTACATACCCGATAGGAGCATCAAACCAAACATAGAAAACTTTATCTTTCATTTCTTCCAATGGGACAGGGGTGCCCCACTTCAAATCACGTGTAATACAACGCGGCTTCAACCCTTCTTTCAACCAAGACTGTGTAATACTGATACCATTCGCCGTCCATTTTCCTTCCACGCTGGTTTTTTGTACCCATGTTTCAGTAACTCCTTGTAGTTTTGATAAATCTAAAAACATGTGTTTGGATTCTTTGGTGATTGGTGAACTACCATCTAATTTGCATCGCGGGTTCACTAATTCAATTGCATTCAATAGTTGTCCGCAAGAATCACATTGATCCCCACGTGCATCCTATTTTGTGATATAATAATTTTTGACATAAGATGGATTTTTGAATTCCTATTGTTAATTACATACTGGATAACCGCATTTCGGACAAGTTCCTTCAACAAAACGATCCGCAAGAAACCTATTTGACATCGTAAAAGAATATATTATGTTAGAATGACGAAAGCGAATAGTTGGTTGGTACCCAATTCAATGACACACCGTTCATGTTGTTCACAATATAATTGAATCATAGTATCCTCTACAAGATAACCATTTTCATTAAGCCTTAAAAAGATATCTTGAGCAATCCTAATAAAGTAAATCCCAATAAATAAAAGAGATTTTTTTACAATAGTTCAACTGCTGTTTGGACTTACCGAGTTTGTTGGTTAGTAGTAGTTCTACCAAAATAATCGAATCCAATACCAAACCATTCATATACTTCAGTATGATGCGCGTAATACTTGTCACAGAGCTCTTGACAGGATATTCCCTCTTCGATTGCTTTTGTCTCTGTAGCGGTCCCATATTCATCTGTGCCACATATATAAAGCGTATTGTATCGACGAGCGCGAGAGTATCTAGTATATTATATAGCATTCGGAAATATGACATACGCGTGCCTGGAGATTTACAATATATCAGGGGAACAAAAAAAGCTCGAAAGAACGTCAATTACCTCGCAAAAACATCAGCACTCAACACACTTCCGATAATATTTCCTAAATGCGGGATATTATTTACATAAGGAAGTGCACTGGTAATGAGAATGTTTCTCTCCCCTTTAATAGGTAGACTGAAATATGGAAATAAGGTAGAATCAAAATTCAGAACAACTTTTAATTTGAAAAATTTATTCTTTTTAATTACATTTTTTCGTCTCCTCTAGGTTCAAGGACTACGCTTTGGTTAACTTTACGTGTAGCAGCCAATTCTTGTTCAGTAGGATTAGTTGCTGCCATGTTGTTTTGAACGGCGATCGGTGATCTGTTTTAAGATCATACTATGACCAAAAAAATTTGAAATAAAAATCTAGATTTAGTGGCTTACGTTTTCGATTATAATAGCTTAGCACGCACTTAAAAAAAATTTCCTTTGAAAGAATGAGTCATTGCCGCGAACAGGCTCATGAACATGGCTCTGGTGATGACCATCACCACCATGACCACGATCATGACCATGAAGGTCCCGATCGTGGAGCTGAGGAAACTTTATTTTCTCGAATAGATCGAGAAAATGTGCGTTGTTTGAACGAAAGTGTACTTGGTTCAGGAAAACTTGTAATTAAACCTTGGCATGAAAGAGAAGACACGACAAAAGTACGTGTGAAAAACTAACGTTTTTATTTATTTATTAATTATTAGTATAATGTATGATTCTTTTTTCACAAAAAATTAAGAAAAAACTCTGTAAAAAGCATAAATTATTTCTTTTTATTTTTATGTCGTAGTCTTTTTGTTAATTTTTTTAATTCTATAGTATGTAGAAAGTGACGTCGATGAACAATTGATTTTCGTTATCCCGTAATTCGATTATTTCTTTGTTCTATTATTAATTTTCAATTTTTTTTCAATTCATTATGGAAATTGTTCGTTTGAAAATTTAAGTAACGCAAATTACAAATATATTTTTAATTATGAAAACCCAAATTTTTTAAATTTGATCTAGATTCACCGGTAACGTGAAATTAAAGTCAATCTCGATTAAAGCTGGTCCTGGTGATAATTGTCCATCAAAATTAAAAGTGTATGTGTTATGTTTAATCACATATTTAGTTATTATTGTTAGAATAAAAAATTAAGTTGATATACAAATTCATTCCGATTATTCGCTTTTCATGTTTCTATCATTCTAGTTATATTAATCGAGACGACGTGGATTTCGACGCGGTAGAAACCTACGAACCAACACAAGAATGGGAACTAGTGCAGACTAGTGAAATAATCGAGTATCCTACAAGGCAAGTATGTTTTGTCGTTGCGTTCTTGGTTTTTCTTCATGATCTAGCTAATAAAAACAATGTTTAATAATTAATTGAATAGAATTTCGAAAATGTCTAATGTGCGAAATTTGAATTTATACTTTTCCGATAATTTCGGAGGAGAGATTACACGAATTTATTATATTGGGCTTAAAGGAGAATGGACAGAGGTATTAGCCATCTTCATCATCATCATCATCATCATCATCATTATAATAAATAATTTATATTATTAATTAATAATATCCATTTTTAGATCAAAAAAGACCCAATAATAACTTTATACGAAGCAGCTGCCAATCCAGCAGATCATAAAATTCACGGTGAAGAGCGATTGCATCACGATATTGATTGAATCGATTTGGATTATTTATTTATTTATTTTCAAGAAAAAAACCGTTAATTGATATCTTTTATGCTGTCTTTTGTCCGATCATATCTGCATGTATTACTCAATAAGAATCAAATCTTGGTTAAAGTTCAAACATATCGATATTCAAATGTCTTGGCAAATTTTTAATAATTAGAAATTAGCCAATCATTAGGGTGGCTATAATCATGTGATAAAAATAATAGAATTTAAAGATGTGATCGTGTTATGCACTCATCAAAGAGCCACCCCCTTTTCCCACCAAAAAAAATAACAAGTTTTTTTCCCTACAAAAAAAGAATAAAGGCAAGTGTTTCCTCTAAAAAAAAACTAAAGCTGCATATTTTTTAGAGACAGAGAAAAGGTGTCCTCACACTCATTATATAATATCCGTTGAACGATTGTTTGAGAACAACAATTTTACGAGGGTACGATCGGAAAAACAATAACTAGCCGTTTTTTCTTTTGAAAGAAAAAAGATTGTGTTTGTGTGTATCTTCAATAACCTAAATTTTAATATTTAATAAAAAGTTCAAATAATACAAAGAGGTTAATTGCCAGTTGTTTTGTCCGTCATTGCTGTGAAAACCTTAATAGCTATAAAATAACATTTAATAAATTAAAGGAATTGCAAAGTAACACAAAGTCAAAAAAAAAACGCACGATCAGTAGTATTGACCTATCTGTATTCGTGTATATATCTGTTAGCTCTCGTATCAAAGGGGGACAAATAATAAAAAGAAAAAGTAGGACCTAAACTCACAAGATGGAAAACAGCGAACTTAGCAACTACATAAACATAGGGGACATGGTGGAAGGCGATGAAGTGGAACTACAAGAGAATCAACACCAACAACAAGGAGCAGGAACAGGGGGAACGCAAACGTTACCAATATCTTTTATAAATCCAAATATGGCAATAGATAATGATGGAAATTCTATCGTTGCTCAAAATTCTCAAAATAGTGATAATAACAACAATAATAATAGCAATAATAACACTGGGAGTAATGTATTAGGTGGAGTTAATGTTGTTGATATGCAGCCAGTTAATAGCGGCGTTGAGAACAATTATGTAGGATTAAATTTTTTCGGAGATGTTGATGCTTTTTCTGACGCAAGCACATTGGCGACAAGTTTTCATCATCATCATCATCATAATATGGGACAAGTTGGAGATGATTGGGCAAATTCGACTTTTGATTCTTCCGGAGGACAGGTTTCAAAGGAACCGACAAAGTCCGTTTTGATCAATCCGGAGGTAGCAAATTCACAGTTTCTTATAGATCCTGCCTTGACCGCTGAAAATGGTGTTGCTCCCTTACAATCACAATTATTGATTTCAGGACCTAACAGTAATAACACAAGTAATTCATCACAACAGCAACTAGTGCAACACAATAGCCATAATATTGATAATGATACAAGTGGTAATTTGCAGCAAGCACAAGATTCCCAACAGCAGCAGCAACAACGACAGCAGCAGCAGCAACAGCAGCAGCAGCAACAACTAAATAAAGCAGGGCATCAATACGGAACACGATTTGCAAATAAACGTACCACATTCTTTTCTCCTCATACACAGCAACCGTTATACCAACATCAACTCAATGAAGAAATGGCAAGTCATTTGAAAGCAGATGTAACGAATTCAAAACGAAAATCTGCACAGAAAAAAGATGAGAAAGTTTATTGTATTTGTCGGAAGCCTGACGATCATCGTGTAATGATTCAATGCGATTCATGTAAAGAATGGTAAATATACATTCTTCTTAATACCTCAAAAAAAGTTTAACTTGATCCAAAAAAAAAAAATTGAACATCTTTTCCTTTACATAGGTTCCACATTGCCTGCGTGAACCTCTCCAAGGCCGAAGCCGAAGTAATCGAAAAGTATTTTTGTCCAACTTGTGATGAGATTCGAAGTGGCGGTGGTGTGGGTGTTGGTGGTCGTCAATCGAAAAGTGAGTTTTTTAAAAGACTTGATCTATTATATTTCTTATTGTTATTGTTATTTAGGTGGTCTTGTTTGTCTATTCCTCCCCTGGATCAATATTATCATTATTTATTTTTATCATCATTATTAATATTATTACCGAATCTATCATTAGTTCAATTACAATCAATATTAAAAATATTATCAATTATTATTATTTCTCTTCTTCTCTCTTTATTTCTCTTTTATCATCTTTTTTTAATGCGTGATTTTTGTATATGCTGCATTCTTGGTCCTCTCTTGGATAAAAATCAATTTATTTTTTCGGATCAAGGTATCACACAAAACAAAAAAAAATCAAATATCAAATACACAATGGAAAAAAATCTGGAATTTTTTGTTCTGTCCTCTCTTTTTATTCTCTTTTCTCTCAATATCTCAATATACAATATTATCTGGATGACGGATAGTCAACGAGAAATATTTTAACAAAAAAGTATTTTTATGCATATTTCGATAATGGTGGGGGTGATAATGATGATGACGATGATGAGAAAAAAAGAAAAGACAAAGAAAGAAAATCAAGTCATCATGTGTATTGATTTTAGAGTCGATGATCGAGCGATCGAAATATTTCGTTTTGAGAGAATTATATATAAAGTATATACACAGATATATATTCAAAGCTTATGATGCATTTATTCTTTGAGGAATACACAAAAACGATTCATACAGCAATAACGCAACACTTAATACGCAAACAGAGACAGTAATAAATCTCGATGAGTGGCTAAAAGTTGTTCTATCAACTCTCGCCCATTATTTCTCCCGATAATACGAAAAGACCGGGTTTTTCAGTAATAATATACACCGGCAAACTGTCCGAATATTAATCGTCTAGCATTTTTCTTCACGCATTCAAAAAAAGATGATGAAGCTCATTTAGTTTTAGCTTATTTATTCCTTTTCTTTACCCTTCGCTTCTTGAAACCCTTTTATTCAGTTTAATGATTAATAGAAAAATTACAGATAACTAATTGATATTTTTTATCTCGCACCATAATAGATCTAGAACTCCAAATTTCACCATATGAAAACTCCGATACAGCCGCCGAGGATGGTCAGATGCCATTAGTTGTAGTAGGGAAGAAAGCAAAAAGTATCGACCCGAAAGCATTGATTATGTACGACGAGAAGGAGAAAGTAGTGATGGTAGGTATTAGTCTTTAAATTAAAATAAGATTCGATCTACGATCAATTATTACGCACCATTTTCTTGGAGCCAATTATTTCATCAAACACTAATCTCTCATAATTTATTATATGCACAGAAATCAAAGAAAGCAATGAAACAGTGTATGTTTCCTGACTGTCATAACCCTGCACGAGAAATTGACGGATACTGTAGCGATGAATGTGCCGTCAAAGATGCCGATAATGTGCTTTTACGATTAGCTACTAGTGGTAATATTATAAATAACAATCGTGATCTTGATGCTGCTATTCCTAAGCTTCGTAAAGAAAATAAAAATAGTAACAATAATATTACTACTACTTCAAATACCAATAAGAACAATAGTAGTGGTGGACGTAGTAGTACTTATTATAGTATTAATGATAAGCTTCATAGAAAGAATAGTAGTAATAATAGTTATTTTGTTTGTCAATTGATATTAATGTTAACAGTGATAATAATAATAACAAATTTCGTTATTTTTTTCGTACCTGTACCGTTGACCCTTCTGTCATATTATTATCAGATTCTAAAGAAAAAAGTGCTACATCTGCGCCATCATCTTCAACAATGAGCGCGACGACAACCTCGTCATCCGCTCCGGCGGTCATCCATAATAGTTCAAGTCCGGAAAAGACGCGATTGATCTTAAAATCACCCACACCAATTAGACCTGCAGCCGCAAAACCATCACTATCATTAAAGATATCAGGTCAAGATACTACTGCTACTGCTGCTGCTGCTGTTGTTGGTGGTGGTGGTGGTGGTGGTGGTGGTGGTGGTGGTGGTGTCACATATTCTACTCATAGTACTCCTACTACTTCACCTACCACTCCCGGTACAAAAAGACCTTCCTGGAGTAGTCCTACAAAATCAGCCAAACTTTCACGAACCTCCTCCTCAAATGCTAATGATCGTATTAGAGCGACATCAGTCAAAAATTTTTCCGAGATATTTACGCAAATGTTCAATGATCTTTATGAGAAAGGTGAATTGCCGCGTGAAGAAAAACATGATGATGATACTAGTAAAGAACAAGAACCACCAGAAGTTCAAGCCGAAAAACTAGCAGTTCGAATCGAAAAAGCAATGTTTGATCAATTTGCTACAAAGGTTAAAGGAGTCCCTGCACAGTGTGAACAACCGTATAAATCAAAACTCCGTAGCCTTTTGACGAATCTCAAAGACAAGAAAAATGATTTATTACGAATGCGTATAATTAAAGGTGAAATACCACCAGAGAAGTTGGTTTTGATGTCATCGGAAGATTTGGCGAATCCGGAGTTGAAGTCGTTGGCGGAACAAGTTCGTCGCGAAAGTATTCACAAATCGGTGTTATTGGCGGCAGCTGATGAACCAAGAATTAAGAAAACCCATAAAGGGGATATTATGATTATCAGCAGATCTTCATCTCCAAGTATTGAACAACGTAACGAGGAGGATAACGTAGGAGCGACATCAACACGAGGCAAAGGGCATGATGTCACCAGAAATATAATTTCGCCAACTACCGCGTCTTCTATTTCGGGATCTTCAAATACAATAACCACCTCACCTACTTCCCTTGGTGCTGTTTCTTCTGCTTCTGCCTCGAAGTCGGATTCGAGTTTGGATGATTTACTTGCCAGAATCAGTAGCAATGCTGCTACACGAAGAACAAGTGTCGAATTATTGTCACGTCAAAATGAAAAACAAACCGATGATAGTAAAAGCTCTACTGACGCTTCGTCCTCAACGAATGTTGTAATAGATTTTGAGACTTTTAACGCACAATCGGCGGCGAATAAGAAAGATGGCTACGATGCCTGGGACCCTTCGTCAAATGACGATATTATAATGGGAGATAAGAATACTACTAATGAGGGTGACGGCGATAATGATGAGATGTTGATCGACAATTTTGCATTGACGAATAGTCCAACTGCATTATCCCCAAATTCAAAAAATGGAGCATCGACGCCAATGGATTTATCATCACCAATCGGATCAGATACACCCCCATATGTACCATCACCTACGTTATTACCAGCATCATTAACAAAACCCGCGATCACAAATTCTGATCGTTCCACCACATCCATCTCCACCAATGTCACCCAAGAAAAGAAATTATCCAAGGATCCGGTATGGAATGGAAAAATCATATATCAAGGGGTCGCTAAATTTTCTGCAAAAGCAACTCAAATAGCCGCACGGACGTTAGAGCCACGATTCTGGGAAGATCTTCTTGCACCACAAATTACTATTGAAGGACGTATTCGGATTGAGGAGGCTAGTAAATATTTGTCGCAACAAGGATGCTCGAACACTAAAGATGTCGCCATAATTCAAATTTCCTCATCAGATGAAGATGTTAATACTTCTAAGGAGAATAAAGATAATAATTTGATGGGTGGAGATAAAAATAATGATAACAGTAATGTTGTTAAAGATGAAAAACTACAGTTAGAACAGAAGAAAGAGAACAAAGAACAATTTGATATTCTCTTTGAATATTTTCACTCGCGAAAGCGTTACGGAGTCGTAGGACAACGATATGCTGCCGTGAAAGACATGTATCTTGTGCCGTTGACACCTCTAGATGAAATTCCGGAATTCGTTCAAATTCTAGAGTATGATGAAGTACCGGAAAAGAGAGACACCAATATTTTGTTGGGTGTAATTGTAATCATTAAAAGTCCTTCTTCTAAACGTAAACATCCAAATGCTAATAGTAGTAGTATTAATAATACTGCTGCTATTAATTCTACATCACATCCTTCTGCTAGTCCTTCGAGAAAAGAAAAATTGATGGATGTTTCAAATCCTATTAATAATAACATTAACAATAACAGTAATACTATTATTGCTGCTTCATCTAGTACTGCGTCAGAAACTTTATCATCATCTACTGCCTCTATTAATACTGTTAATAATAACAACAATAACATACCCATTGGAACAAATACTTCGAATAGTGCTGTTGCTGCTTCACCATCATCATCTAGTAATTTCCTGCAACCTTCAGCAGCAGCCGGAATACCAAAAGATTTATTACAATCATTATTTGCTCACGCGGGCATCCCTGCAAATAACATGGGAAATTCCGGTGTTCCATCTTCTCCACATACTGCACATCTTCACCAGCAACATATACCTCAACATCCTCAACATCAATACTATCAGTTACCACCTTCTGCTATTCCACCCCAATCTATTGCTCCTCATTCTCAATCTACTCCACCACAATCATCACAGCAACCGCAGCCAACGCAACCAATAATGTCTAATTTACCATCGAGTTATTCAACAAATTATCAGAATTTAACTCCTCCACCACAAAGTGGCCCTCCGCCACCATCCTCAGCATCATCGGCAACTTCTTCAACACCAGCGACGGCATCGGGTTTATATACTCCCGGTCAAGGAACACCGCCTCCTCCATTTCATAATCCATATAATTACTATCCTCCTGTTCATCCATCACAGCCACCTAATTCTAATGCACCACCACATCATGGATATATGCCGCCTCTAAACAATACTGGAGAATTACAACCTCCTCCATCACAGGTGCCAGGATACCCCACACAACAGCCTCCTCCATATACAATGCCACCACCTTCTCAACATGAAATTAGACCTCAATGGGATCAACCTCAGTCTGTGATACCGTCGCAGCAGCAACAACAACATTGGGAACACCAACCCCCAATATCCGATAATGCTGGTATTATTGGTGGTAATAGACAACCACTACCACCACAGCAATGGGAAATGGACAAAAATCGTACTTCATCACAATGGGGTGAAAATCGACGTGGTCATTCAAGTAAATCTCCACCTCAAAATGAACATCACCGATCATACAAACCATATAATAAATCATCTCCAAATCGACGTAATGCCGGTGGTAGTGGTTATCGCGGAAGACGTGGTGGTGGCGGTAATAATGGCAATACTACCGCTAATGATAATCCAAGAGCTGGATGGAAAGGAAATAATAATCGATCTAATAATAATGGCCAAGAATGGGATGGCACTAATAATAATGAAGAACGTTGGGATCGAAGAGAACAGCAACAATCAGGAATGCAGCAGCAGCAGCAGCAATCACAACATGATGTTAACACAGAACTTCAAAATACTAATAATCCAAGCGAACAAAGACTAAATCGAGGAGGTAGAAGACGATGGGATTAATCAGCAATATCCGTAGCATAGTGTTAATATGGTCAATTGGGGAGATTTATTATTAGTAAAACTTCACATATTGTTATTCGAAAAAAAAAACCATGTAGACATTATTTGATTTCTTTGTTTAATAATTAGTTTTATTCCGTTTTTTTTATGAAATTTAAAAATATTAAAAATATTAAAAATTTTTTTCATCGAGAATAATCTTTATTATGGTAAAAATAAAACTAAAGCTAAATCTTGAATCCATCATTGGCTTTTGTTGAATTTGATTGGTTGATTTAGGGGTGTACAATTTTAGGATTAGGTTATTAGCCAGATTCAAGACTACCGTGCAAATTTAATTTTATCGGGAGGAAGGTTACTATGTCCTGCTTGACGAGTTTTGTTTGTAACAGCGCACATGTTAAATGAAAATCTAAAAATTCAAACCATAACACACGTCTCACTTCAAGCAAGAAAATGGCTTAGAAACATCTGAAGTTGTGGTCATGGGGAAAAAATACTAATATTAATATATCAATGGAACCTAAAGATCCAAACATTCTTCACTCTATAGCGTAATGGGTTCTTGAAGAATATCTTTTAATATCAGATATAAAAAGAATTAATATTATATTATATTATATTTATTAATTGTAAATTCGAATATAATTTTCAAATATATTTGTAAATTTGAAATTTCACACGGCGATCAACCTATTACATATATTTTTATTAATGATGGTTTCATAATGTTATTCTTAAAATCATGAAACAGATTTTTTCCAAAAAATTTTGATCAAAATTGTGTTTTTTGAATTAATTTAATTAAAAGGAATTACTGCGCTTCTAGATGGACAATTCCAACAAAAAATATATCTGAAGACGATTGCAAGCAATGTTAGAAGTCTTAGTTCGGAAAATAATTAAATTATATAACAAAGTTGTACATATCTAAAGATTGAATGGCTAGCTAGATGGATGCTAGCTATATAGTTGATTTATTTATTTGGATCCAGTACTTGCTTCTGCCTGTAATTTCGCTTGATATTCCGTTTGTATTTTGATCACCTAATTTTTTGTTGGGATTGTTTTTTTATTTATTAAGAGCCCGAATTATATATAGATATAGTACATAAATTATGAATTATCGATTAGATTTAAGAAATTTTATTTAATTTCTTGATCTGTCTCTTCATTAGTCTCCGTTTTGAATTCAATCGATTACAGAAACTAGTTTTTTCTTGAGAGGAAAAATGATTGTAAAATAAATAAAAATAATTAAAACATACCTCTGTCTTTTTTAACTCTGATTTTTGAGTAAAATCTTGAAGTTGCGCTTCAACTCTTTTTCTAATCGAGTTCAAGAAGGCGCGTCATTGTGTAAAGAACACGGAACACGATCAAAATGAATAAAAGGAAAAATGAAAGCTATACAATACATTTCACTTCGAATATATTCTAATCGTTTCTCAACATTCGAAACAGCCTCCGTTTTTTCTTGTTTGACCAACACTGGGCCAATTAATTTGTATATATTTGCATCATCTTTGAGTAAATTGAATTCCTTAAAAAAAATTATAACAGTAAAGACGTGAATCAAATGTCAACTAATTTTTTAACGTAAAGAAACGAATATTTAATATAATGATAATGAATATTTAATTGCGGAAATGAATAAACAAAAATTACCTTTTGAACAATTTCATTCTCTTGTAGTTGCGAGTCCAGTCGTTGTCGTGCTTCTATTGCATTTGAGAGGTCTATCAAAAATGTACATTTTTATAGGTTTCGTGAATGTTTAGTAAATTGTGAAATTCAAAGACATTACAAAAGAAAAATTTTAATATCTTCATTACTTAAAACGCGGAATGACACGAAAGCAGTAGCTAATTTCTTTCTTTTCTTGCTGTACCTTTTTGAATTTTTTGAAACTCCCGAGTCGCCACTTCCAGTCTTGCTTCAAGAGACATTGCAAAACAATCGATAACTCCAAGGTTTAGAGACTGGGAATTTAGTAGATAAATTTCTAACCAACCAATTATAATGTACCACGAACAGGTGATCCAAAGGTAAAAACGCAAGCGTAGAATAATTTTTAAATCTCAGACATAATGTCGAATTATAGTTTTTCTTCCGCTGTAACTACCCTTCAAGAACTGCGAAAAACAGGAGAACGAAAATCTGATTTGATAGTTTCGCTTGGTGAAACAATTATAGAAAGCGGTCGTGCAAAGAAGTTGGGAGATGAAGGCAATAAATACTTTAAATCGTGAAATTATTATGATTTCAAGCTAATAAAAATTATTTATCGTTTATCATAGTCTGGTCTGTATACGAACAGGTTTTCATCGCGGCTCTCGATCTTAAGAAGGATAAATTGGCAAAAGTTTGGATTTTTTACTTGATTAAAACCTTATACATTTCAACAATTTGTCTGACAATTTTGCCTGATCAACTCAAAAGATATGTCTCGATAACCTAGAAAAACGCTTTGCAAATTCACCACGCGTAAAAATCTTGGAAGGGATGAAATTGGAAGCGGATGGTAAATTGGATGATGCGCTGACCATTTATAGAAATATTCTGGAGACAGATGAATCCAATGTGGCATGTATTAATTGTATGGTTCATTCGCTATGGGGAATCGGAAAAAACAACTTACTTATAAACGAATGGTTCTTTATCAGGCAGCTGGAAAACGAATAGTTGCCGCCTTAAAAGCAAAAGGACAAATAGCAGAGGCCATTGAAAATTTAACAAAATACCTTGATGTGTATTGCAATGATACAGAAGCATGGTTAGAATTGTCCGCCTTATATTTAGACCAGCATTTGTGGGTTTTAGCTTCCATCAAATATCTTTCTTTTCATTTGATCTTAACTCTAGTTAGTTTGAAATATGATGAAAGAGAAATCCATCTTTCCTTTTCACTTTTTGTTATTGCTATTTATTATTATGTGTCTTCCTCTTTTTTGCTTCCTAATTACCAATAATTTTTTGCTCTTTTTCCTTTTGATTATTTCATAGATATCTACAAGCGAGATTTTGTCTCGAAGAAGTAATCCTACTACAACCGCAAAATCACCTTTCTCATCTTAAGTACGCAGAGATTTTGTACACGAGCGATAATATCCAACTAGCACTTCGTGAATATTGCCGTGTGGTGGAATTATGTGATGATTATTTGCGTGCATTGTATGGAATAAAATTGGTAAGTAATTAAGTGAGAAGATTATTATTTCCATTTCAATTAAAAATCATATATAAATTAAATAATAAAATTTATAGTGCACTGAACGACTCCTAAGCTTGGAAAATACATCCAGCTCTTCCTCTTCTCATCAACCATCAAAGTCGCAAGCGCCAACAAATTCATATGACGCGAAAATTCTTTCCGAATTGAAGCTCTTGGCAACTGAGCGAATTCTAAACACTTATAGCAGAAAATCTCGTGACAATGCTACTGACAAAAGTAATGAATTTAAAAAATATATAATTGAATGGTTACAAGCTCCATAGCAACACAAAAACCAAATCAAAAAAAAAACATTAGAATTTTCTTTCTTGAATAATAATTTTAATAAGAAAATCAAAGAATTGTAATCCAAGAGTTTATTATATAATTCATATCTCTTGACTAAACTGCAATGATATTTCTCAAATACGAATAAAATAATTGTGTTCAATCAAACATCATATCTATATAACAAGCAATGTCCATGACTCTGAAAGAAGGGTTATAGCGAGGAGATAAACAATAACAAGTTGTTTATATGTAATTTCACGTACCTCTTCTCGGCGGTGGAACGTACAACGTCTGATCATTCTTTTGGATTTGAGTATGAATTATTCGACGTGTATTCGGCGAATTTCCACTGTTGGATCTGCCAGTCATTACCACATTATTAGAATACTTTGCTCTATTATTGGTCGGAACCCCAACTACTCGAAAATTATTTGGAGATGATCTTATTGTAGTTGTTATATTGGTGTTCTGAGCACCTGTATTTGTTGGATTATTGATTCTCGGCTTTTTATTAACATTGTTCACCGATGCCGGTTGTACCGCTGATGCCGCCCGTTTTTGTGAAGTAGAAGTAGATTGTGATGGCAACGACGATGATGCAGTTTTGATGCTTTTTGTTTCTTTTGATTTTGGTAAAGATTGATTTTGAGCAGAAGATGCTGACATCTTTTGCCAAGAAAGTGTGATTTTTGGATAGGTTCGGAATTTTGATGGTTTTAAAAGCTCCTATTTTTCGATGCATGCATGCATGAATATATATAAATAAACTAATCGTCTATTACAGATCATCTTGATTGGTATGTGATTCATTACCTTAACCATCGAGAAAATGTTTTCTGTCATAGCTTGACCATTTTTGCATTTTTTAATTCTCTGAAGGAGAGAATCATCTTGGATTAGCAATCAGTATAATAGTTAAAGGCATGGAAAAATAGAAAACTCACTTCAAGGGTTTCCGGATCTTTAGGTGAACGTTTTTCTAAATCGATTAATCCTAATTTGATACTGCTAAGCGTTTTTTGAGTTTCCATATACACATGTCGAAGCCTGAAAATGCAAAGAAATATTGAATACTGGATTTCGGTTCTTGGTAAACATTCGCGTGTGTTTTATAAAAAAAATTAACCTTGAAGATACTTCATCGTTATCGGTTAAACCTGAAACCTAAAGGAACGTGAAAAATAAATATCGATTAGAAGGTTTCTCTGATGTTCCGTAAAATAGAACTCGAACTTGAAAAATGAAAAAAAACCTTTGCATCAAAATTATATAATGCATAAATTATATATTCTACTCGAGATAAATCTAAAGCTGGTGGCTTTGCGCTTGCGTCTGTTGTCGCTTGAGGAACTTCATTCTATTAATAAAAAAATATTAATGATTTCATCATTTTTAAGAAATTCTAGTATATTTCCAGTAATTATACATACGCAGAGCAATTGCTTAACCAACGGAACAACATCCTTTAATTTTGCTTCATCTGGCTTTGCCGCTGCACATTCAGCAAGAAAGCGTAATATCGTTCTTTGCTGTTTTTCATTAAACTTTGAGAATATATCAACAGGAAGAACATTTTCAGATAAAAAAATGAGGAATGATGTGCTGGATACTCCTTTCTGCTTATTTTTAGCAATAAGATGAATATTAAATCAGTGTATATAAAAAATTATACTACAAATAAGAGAGTAAATGGAAAATATTTTACGAGAAGTATTTGCGATGCCGCTTTCCCACACGAGAACAATTTTTGCACTTTTTTTTCGTCCGAGAGCTTTTTGAGAATTGAATAACAAGATTTCAATAAGTCGATTGTTAGTGAAATCAAATAAAGGAGAAATTAAGAAATATTACATCAAATTTTCCATCTTCCGTGACATAAATAAACAATTCTTGCAACAAGTTTTCGTTGTTCTTTTGATTGTTTTCAAACATTGGTAATGTTATGAGCATTTTAAAGAAAATCTCAAATTCAGGTCCTTCTGCAGGCCGTAAAGCCTGTCAAAAAATATTAGAATCAATAAAAAAAATTCCCCACAGCATAGTCATTTACAATCAGAAATTATGGTGAACCTTTTTTAATTCATCAGCAAAAATTTGCTCCAGTTCTTTGTCTTGCTCAAATAATTCGCCTTTGAATTGATTCAATTCATGAGCCAGAAATTTGATGGTTCGATTGCGTGCTTCTATTGATCCGTTCATCGTTTGTGCGAATATGACCCTAATAGCTCGTTGCGGATCACTTCTAATGACCGTCTCTAAGGCTTTCTTTACTGCGGCAATCTCTTGTGCACTTTCTAATGTAGTATGATAATTAGTCAATGAGGGATAAGTATATTTTTGGAAAAAAAAAGGATTAAACAAAAGTGCTAATGACCATTTTGAAGAAGTTGTAATAACGCATCAGCAATTCTTTCCGAGTAATTTTTAAGTTGTTTCACAACATTCGGCATCGCTTTAATCACTTCGAGACGCACCTAGATATTGCGTAAAAAGAAAATCAGATTTCGATAAATTCGAAAAGTAGATTGCTACATGGTCGAATAATTACGTTTAAATCAGTATCTTCACACAAATCAAATAAAGCATCTATTGCAGTTTCATAATACTCTGGAAAATGCTTAAAAAAGGTTGGAATTAATCGTGCGGACAAGCGTTTAGAGCTTGTGGGCCCATGAGCACCGTCAATTAAAATTTGGTAAGACTCCTTTTTCTAAGAGAGAGATAAGCGAGAGAATGGCACCAAGCCAATGAGCTTGCTTAGTGTACTTTAAGTAAACGCGACGCGCTAGAAAACCAAGGAAGAAAAACTAACTTCAGAAGCTTTCTCTCCAGCTTCCTGAATCTCGGAGTAGGCCTTGTAAATCTGTTCGACTGTAACTTGTGGCATAGCTGTCAAAGTAAAAAAAGAAGTGTGATCGATCGAGGTGTGTTTATACAGTTCAACTGACCAATGATTTTCCACACTTTAATTCTGACCAGCATTATATTAGGGATGCGATGTCTCTGTTAATGCCGGAGAACATGAAGAATTGGTCCGTATGCCTGCATATCAATTTTTCCAAATCAAAATTGTCACGTTTTGTCGCGTGGCGCAGAGTTTTATGGTTTGCGTTGTATAATAATAATACACACTAAAAGATTGCAACATTACACAGAAACACAATAGTAGATACTCTGTCAACGTGCTTGTCGTACACGCAACAACAACAAAACTTCAAGCACTACTTTTATACTGCTCCAAAGAATCCTAAAACGTAAACTTCTTGATATTCTCTCGACTCAACTAGTTCACGACTACCGCTATATAACGCTACTGAACTAATAGACAGAACGAGCAAAAAACAAGTGATTGATAGTTTGTGTGTTTATCCTGTTCCTCAACAAAACTATCAATTGCACTTGATGGCTAACGAACATCCACAAGCAGCAAGTTTAAACTATAATCCGCCTGGTTTTCAACCTGTCCTTTCTGCAATTGAATACGCACACGCTCAAACCTTGAACGATGTGCGTCAATCTCAGTCTGCTCAACAACTTGATGTCGTAACTACAGGACAATATTTTCAGGCATCAGGAAAAGAGTGGGTTGAGTCTTCACAGAAAAGTCAGCCTGGTACTAATGGTGTTGGTGGAATAGCGCCTAGTGGTGCAATACTAGGTAGTGGGGGAGGTGGCACTAACGCAGGTATCAGCAACGACACGCATGCTAATTTATCAGTGCATAATAGGAATATTTCTGATATTGGGTCTGCAACAACGGGAATGGGCATGATTGGATACAAGAACTCTTCAAATATTGGACAATATTCTTCAATTAAATATCCACCTGGATTTACAGGTGTTAGTAACAATGGATTAGTAATGGGAAGTGGGGCAAATGGGACAGATTACCATTACGGTCATGCCTCGTTCAGCAATGGCTCCAACAACATTCAGAATGGTAATAGTAATAATAATAATAATAATAATAATAATGCAGTACCAATGGGAGGGGCTGGAGGATATGCACGCAGTAATAGTATATCAGTGATACCTCAAAATTCACATAATGAGGATGTTGCATTATACGGGAATGTTTCTTTTGCAAATCCTTTGATTACAACTTCACAACCTCCGCGTAATATTAAGAATCCAGCAGCATCAAGTTTTGGGATCGGAGGAGGTAAATTTATTTTTTAATGGATTCGGGTTCATTATAATAATATTTATTTTTTTTAATGGTTACTTTTCGCAGACTACAAATCTTTTGATCTACAAAATCAACTCCAAACATCTTTTAATACTTTGCCGGAAGAGAATCATGAAACAGAATGGGGCAAAAAAATTTTACTCACTCCTAGTATGGAAGATTCTCCAAAGGTATGTATTTTATTAAGAATATTAATTATATATTATTATTAATGAGCATAAATTCTTCAATTTCATTAATAATAAAATCATTGAATTTATTCAAAAAAGGAATCAATTGTTTATAAGCCATTGAAACCATTGCGATCAGCTACGCTTCCAACTCAGACCGAAATTAATAACTTAACCAATGGTATATACGGAAACGCAACAGTGGTTTCACCGACTTCTCCCTGGGGTCCTGCATCCTCTGCGTACGTTACTACCCCATCAATTAACACCAGTTTGGGCGGACTAAATAATTCTGGGAGTTATTTTCCACCGCAGATGCAACAAACTATTCCCAGTGGAAATGACCAATACGTTAATTATAATGTTGGTTTATATGGCACTAATGTCAGAAGGCCAGCATCGAACAATAATATCCAGGGAAATGGCATTCATGAGGAAAATAATCATGTAAAGTTTGATCATACCTCACTAGGAGGAGGAGTACTTTTAGAATATTATAATCATAATAATTCAGCACTAACAACATCTCCAAATGGATATTTTCCAACTTCACAACAGGTTCATTTTCAATATCGAGCTCTTGGAAATGCGCTACATCAAGCTCAACAGCAACAACAGCAGCAACAAGAGCAGCAACAGTTGCAACAATATCATCACCAACAACAACAGCAGCAGCAGCAGCAGCAGCAGCAGCAGCAGCAACAACAGCAACAGCAACAGCAGGCAGCGCAAAAAGCAGCTCAATATCAGCAACAGCAACAGCAGCAAGCGCAACAACAATTACAATTGCAACATTATCAGCAACAAGTACAAAATCAGCAACTTAAGCAATTACATCAACAAGCTCAGTTGTTACAACAAAATCAACAACAACAGCAGCAGCAGCAGCAGCAGCAGCAACAAGAGCAGGAGCAACAGCAACAACAGCAAGCTGCTAATGATCCCTCTTCTACATTTCGACTTCCTTCATGGAGTACATCTGTTGCTTCTGCTAGTTCATTACGCCGTAGATTAGACGGAAATGGAAGTAACGGAGGGGATAACGTTGATGATGATGGTGTAAAAGGAAGTATGGCGTTATATGACAAATCCGATGTTGAGGACATTATATTGACTTCACGTGATTTAGGAAAATATGTCGCTGGTAATGAAACAAAAAACTTTGCTAGAAATGAATTAAAATTAGACATTCGCGGTCTTCAAGGACCTACATTAGTTGCGCCTCCACCTGGATTAGAGAGTTATCGAAGTCCAACTTCACCCAGAACCCTTGTTACTTCTCCTGTAATAAATGCCGAGCATATCGAACATTATTTTAGTCCTACATTGGCAGCTCTTACCTCACCAACATTAACTAGTGTAGCTGTTGCTAATCAGAACATTTTACTTGGTGGTGATTTATCATCTAAAGTTCAGAATAATCAATCACTTGGACTCGTGGATGTTACCGACATATCAAATGGTTTAAATAATATGAGTTTGATGAATTCCAATGGAGGTGTCTCAGCTTCAGATATTGGTCAAGTTGCGTCAAATGAACTGGCAGTAATGCATGTTACTGGTCCTCCTTCGAATAATAAGCAACAGACAAAGATGTCATGGGCTGCGATTGCCAAAACAGCGCCAAAACCGCCTCCAGTAAATACTTCGCCTGAAGTTTTAGGAGTTGTCCCAGGAGCTTATAGTGCAGCCATTTCACCTTCAACCGCTGTATCGCCAAATTCCTCTTTCGCGTCTAGACCAATGTCTGCACCTACAGGTGCCTGGGCTGGTAAAGCAAAAATTGCTGGCGTTAATCCTGGCAATGGGATGAATAATCTATTCCCCCCGCAACCGAACGCAGGTTTAGCGCCTGGTTCAATGACAATCTCCACAGCATCGGCTTCGAAAAAAGATATTATAGCTTGGGTTGCTGCGAAAGGTTATAATCCAAAATCGTTTAACTGCAAGCCACCACTTGTAAGATTATATATATATATATATATGATTTTTTTTAATTGAATTCATATTATATGTTGAAAACTAATAAAATTTTTTATTTAAGGCACGTTATTTTGTTATTAAATCTTATACTGAAGATGATGTTCATAAATCCTTAAAGGTTAGTTAAAAACAATATCATTGCTAAGTAGATTTTCAGGAATTATTATTTCGGTTCAACCACTTATTTCTCTTTGTCTAATTAGTATGATATCTGGGCTAGCACTGAAATTGGTAATCGACGCTTGGATAAAGCATTTCGTGAAAATGCTGATAAAGGCCCTATATATTTGTTCTTTAGCGTCAATGCGAGGTATATCACGCGATTTTGAATAATCAAATTTGAAATGAAGAAATCATATTAAAAACGTAGCTCTTTTTTTTTAATAGTGGTCATTTTTGCGGTATGGCACAAATGCTTACACCAGTGGATTACACGACGAGCAGCAGCGTGTGGGCACAAGATAAATGGAAAGGTGTTTTCAAAGTTAAATGGATATTCGTCAAAGATATTCCTAATGCTCAATTAAGACATATCAGAGTTGTGTATGTATTATTCCTTGTGTTTTACTTATATTCTTGAAATAGTTATTGATACAATATATTATAATTCTATTTCTCTTTTTGGACCAAACTAAAACACAGAAATAATGAGAATAAACCAGTCACAAATAGTCGCGATACTCAGGAACTCTATACAGAACCTGGACGTGAAATGTTAAAGATATTCTTTGAATATCGTAGTAAAACGTCCATCCTGGACGATTTTGAATTTTACGACAAGCGTCAAGTTGAGATGCGTAAAGATGGGATCGCCCCTTTGGTAGGACCAACCAGCCCAGGTCCGATTACCACCAATCCATATGCAAACTTGACACCGATGACGGGAACAAGTCCAAACACGAACATTAATAATAATAACAATAACAACAGCAACAATAATAGTAATACTAATAATAATAATCTGTTAGTGGGCAGTGGAAACAGTAGTGGGAATGTTAGTGCGACTGCTAGTCAGAATGGAGAGTCGGATAATTAGGACTTTTATAAGAAACGTTATTTAGAACGAGACAAAATTTCTAAAGAAGGATGTTCCTTTTTTAATTTCTTTAGAGGACTATTTTGCAAGCATTTTTCACTTATCAATGAACAATTATTCTTTATCTGTTTTTTGCTGACTTAAAATTTCAAATTTTATTATTATATATAGCTTATTTTTTATTTTATTTCATTTTGACACATAGTTTCAGCATCAAACAAAAAGACATTTATTTTTAGTTAGCATTTTTTTTAAAAAAAAGATTACAATTACTTGCACTGTCATAAAATATGAAGCCAAAATTCTAGGGAGATTGATTTATTTTTTTTATTAAATAGTTTACCCATTTTACCCTGATGAATAATTATTATCTTATGATTGCATTAATTAATTAGTAAATTTTTTATATTTTTCTGCTTCTTTATTATATTTTAGTATTATATTCCAAGTCTTAGTATTCGACATCCCTTTTTTTTTAAATTCTCTGATTCCGATTGAATAGTTAGATAGCTAATTGGATGTTTTGTTATCCATCACAATATTAATGATAGTATCTATCCAAACTAATAATCCAAGCATTCTTTGTCCAGAAAATGTTGAATATTATATAGTTCTCTCAAAAACGTTATAATTAGTTATCAACAACAAAGATTAGAATGTGAAAATATTAGAACAAATTTTATTTAAATTGGCAAAACTGTAAATTTTGATTAATGTACACATTTTCCCGTAAACGTTGTTGATGTCTAATATATTCTTGAGTTTAATGAAGAATAAAGAGATATTAAGTTTATCAATCAAGTTCGTTCAAGGAATTTGGAATTATAATAATATTTTCATGTTTTATACAAATAATCTTATGTATAACTAGACAGCAGAGCTTAAATAACAAACCTAATTTGAACAAGTAACCTTATCGTTGTCTTCAGTAGTTTGCAGCTCTTCAACAGACGGGCCATTGCGTCTCTTTGCGGCTTCTAATGAGTCGTTACTTACAACCTGAAAGAAATTTTTATCTACAATATACCGAATGCTTTGCAAAAGGATGTTTCGTTCTTTGCGAATCTCTTTTTCGAGAAGCTTTTCGTATTAAATATATTAAGGTAAGAATTTCACAGTGAATTATTGAAAAAAAAACCCCTTGAAATAAAAGTAGTTTTTACCATTCGCAATAGATTTCCAGATCGTCGTGATTTTACTTCGTCTTTAGATTGCGACTAATAAAAATACATTAGTTAACTTGAAAAACTAAAGAGAAAAAAAATTATATATTAAAAAATTATTTACTCCTTTCCTGAACTCATCGTGTCTATATCGGCATTTGTTTCCGTTTTTACAATATCCATTTCTATAGTATTTACAAGTAGTTTTTTCAACATGTGCAAACCTGTTATTATGCCTGTTGAGCGGCTGAACACTGTCATCATTATCATCATTCTTATTAATCCTATTAAGAGTCGAAGCATTGTCATTATCCTCATTCTTATTATGACTACTGAGAGTCGAAACATCGTCGTTATCAACACTCTCCGACTTGATCGAGATACACGCTTCATTCAAATTTGTTCCTTGTCCAACCGGAGCAGCAGATTCAGCAGCGATCAGAATGTCAATACCTGGTTTGGTGTCATCAAAGTTCTCAGGGCGAAGACTCCGATTCTGATTAAGTCTAGGTCTCTTTTGCCTATTGTCAGTTCTCCATTCCAAATTTCCACGTCGCTTGTCCCTCAGCCTTGCATTTGTTCCGGGGATTAATTCTCCTCTTGCGGCTCTTTCTTCTTCTTCTTGTTTCTAACGGTCAAAATTTGTTTGATTATACTATTATGACAGATAGATCGAACAAGATATAAACTGAATACTTTTTTTGCAATGTTGGCATCAGTGGGATACCGTTTTTTCCTTTCCTCTATCCATTTTGCAATTTCTTCGGGGGTTTCAAGTTTCACTTTGATTCTCGGTTGCGTATCCCTGAGAAAAATAACATCAAGCATTACTGCATATGCATATATGCGAATCTATACGTATGATAACTACCTTTCAAAATGAGGTTTACTTCGTCTTGGTATGCGCCTGTCTTTAAAATTAAACCGTGAGGTGTTATTTGGAGCGTTTGTCCTCTGCACACCAGGCTGCCAGCGGTTAAATTGCAGTGAATCGTTAGAATTTTCTTGGTTTATTTGAGGTTCTGTGGAAATTAAGTTTATTTTATTTTCTCCACTTTGAGCATTATCTGTTGGTACAATTTCAGGTGCAAATCCATTATTATAAGCTTGTCGACCGCCTCTATAGTTGAGTGAACTATTGAAAAACCCTCTTCTCGTCCCTCTATTATCACCCCTACTGCCTCCTCCCCCACGCCCTCCTCTCCCACGCCCCCCTTCCCCTCGTCCTCGTCCCCTGTTAATATAGGAATTCACATGGTTATTTCCACGACCACGGAAATTATTAGTATTAGTATTATTAACGAGTTGATTGGAGAAGGTATTGTTTGCTTGTGCTAGCGAAGGAGAAGGTGCTGGTGGAGGGGCGTATCCTTTCGGAAGAACTGTGTTCGAATTTACATTATTGGTCATTACTTAGAATAAATGCAGAGCACTGCACTCGATTTTACTAGTTCGTGGATCGAGTTCAATCCGTAAAATAAAGTTATACATAGATCTATACTATATATATACTGTATGCAGAATGTCACATTACCTTAGAAGTTTGACGGTTATCCGTGCGTAATCTTCAAATAATGATAAAAGTCACTCGTTCTTTTTTGAGCATACTCAATAAGCATCTTACTCTGGCTTTTTTTTATTATAAGAACCTCTACGATGGAAAAGTTTACCTCAAAACTAATGGTCTTTAACAAGAGCCTAAGCCAAGCTCGTCAGGTTTGTACAGCTCATTTTTGAATTCTCGGAGAAATGTGAAAGAAAGTACAAGCGTTGAAGCTTTTTAGTTAAAAAACATAGTACGCAGCCGAAAAATTTGGAACAGCCGAGGAAGTAACAGAGCTTCCGCAAGAATATTTAGAGCTTGAAAAGGTAAAATCTCAACTTATGGACGTTTAGTTTTCTTCCGTCACACCGTATTAATTATCTAATAAGGAATTTTACGCGTGTGTATAATAAAGGTCAGGAAGCCAACGGGATTCATTAATTTTATAATCATCAATTTTACTAAATCTAACTTTTCATTAATAGCGAGTAGATGCACTTCGCACTGTTCATGCCAACTTACTTCGAGTTACTCGAATCCACACAAATTCCTCCTATGATTATCCTGGGCAACTTCAGGAATCAGTCGGTGAACTAACACGAAGCGTTCAAGATCAATTGAAGGTCTTAACGCAAGCTCCTGCAGAACGTGCAGCAGAAGCAGAATCTCATCAAGCAGAGTCCACTACTCCCACCCTCCCAAAAACTTTACCTCATGCCCTATCACGTGCTTCAGCTCAAGGAGCTGTATTATTGGGCACAGAAGATCCATTTGGTGCCGCGTTACTTAAATATGCGGCTGTACAGGAAAAAATTGGCGAGCATCGTATAAGAATGGACAAGGAGATAACTCAAAAATTTGTTCAACGATTCAGCACTACATTGAATACTGAAATTCAGTTTGCAATGAAAGCTAGAAGAAATGTTCAGTCTACGCGTTTGGCTTTGGATGCTGCCAAAGCGAGATATAAATCAACAAATGCAGAAAAATCGGAAGCTGCGAGATTAGAAATTGAGCAGGCTGAAGATCAATTTGTGGCGGCAGTTGAGGATGCCACGACGCTAATGAAATCTATATTGGAAAAGGTGCAAAATTTTAATTTAAGCTCTCGAGAGAAAACATATTTATCTGTATTGTTTTTTATGTAGCCGGAGCCTTTACGTAATCTCGCCGACTTGCTGAATGCTCAAATGGCTTTCTATAAGGAAGCCTATGAAAGCCTTGCTGAACTTGCGCCAGAAATTGATGAGATGCAAGTAACACAAGAAACGTTATACAGGTATGTGTATTTAATAAACTTTTGTATCTATATCATATGTGTAATCTTATACAAGTATAAATGTTTTTTCAATGGATAGAAACAACAATCGCAATGATTAAATTGTCGAACAAGCAAATAATAATTTTGAAGGCAAGATTTTTTTTGTGGGTTTTTGATATAGGGTTTATTGATGATAAACATAAATGAATCTGCATATTTAGATTCATGCTAGTCATTGAATGTTTTTTCTGTATGTTTCTGTATTAAATTAACAATACCCTTTGATGATTATTTAATCCCCTTTTTGAATATCATGTACAACTAAAATATAATTAATATAATATAAAAATGACAAGTTCCAAGGCAATCCAGTTTTAGAAGCGATCATCACAATTTGGATCTTTGGTAGAGCTTGGTAGCAAGGTTCTTTTCGAAAAAGTATGTCCCAAACTTCTGAAAAATTTAGGTTAACTCACCTTTCAGGATTTTGCTGTTGTTGATCTAAAGACAGTATACGTATGTATGCAATGCCAAAACCTTATTAAGAACAGTAGCCTCATTTCGATCTTAATATTGACAAATGGAAACCGTCGTCGTCTCAAAATTCTGTTAATGTTGCCGCTCGATTTTGTCGTTATATTAGAAGCAGGCGGCCACAACATTGAACATTATCTAAGGATGAAGATAATCATGATAGAATAGTTGTTTTGAAAATCTTAACTCACTCTGAATTTTTTAACCGAGGTTGCTAATAATAAATTGGGCAGCAATGTAACCGCCTGATTCTAATGTTTAATGGTGCCGCCGACTAATTCTGCTCTATTTTCTGCTGTAATATCGTCGCTTTGTTCTGCTTGCAATGTAAGGTTGTCGCCACTTTGCTCAGCTGACTCTTGTTACATTATTCAGCTGCAACGTTCGAAGGTGCCGCCGCTTAATCTGCAAGAGGAATGTTTGAAGGCCCATCGCTTGACCACGCTGGAATGTTCAATGACACTGCTGTTCTGCTCCTGTTGGAATTTTCAAAGGATTGTCGTCTGATTCTGCTGCAATGTTCGAAGAAGGTACTGCCACGTGATCCTGCTGGACTGTTCAATGTCCGATCAGCTTAATATTCAACAATGTCGCCCGCCTAATAATGAACAAAGCCCACAAAACGAGAGTGCTACATGCATCGCGCAACATTATGCATTAGATATCTCTCAATGGGAGGACCTTTCAAAACTAGCACTCTGTTCGGTACTGCCGATGAGCCTCGTATAAGCATGCAGTCTCGACCTGTAGAAATATATTTTCTATTAGCAACACCGATTATTTCAAGTGAAAGGAAAAAATGCTAGGTCACAATGATGGTTCTCAGATATTCCCGATCAGGCCATTTTTACAGATATCTGGCCAGTATATTCTTGAGACAATAAATGGATCATGCAATTCAGTCTCATTGAAAGGACGAAACGAGTCTAATGAAATTGGGGTTAATGCTAAAACAAGGGTAGCACCATCAAATTTCATTATAAAAGACATATTTAGGGGGTTTGGTCAAATTTGTATGTTACACTTGATCTTTACGATTGGATTGGTGTAAAATTTTTAATCTGACATCATGAATTCATCAACTTGTTGTCGGGTTCGTTATATAGATATTTTTTTATTAAATGGCGACTTTTCGGGAAATTAGTGATTATGCAAGTTTATGCGGTGATATTGTTCTGTAGAGCTATGTGATACGGCATTTTAGATTAAGGTTTTCATTACACAATAGTAAAAACAATAATACGTTTCCTGATTTCAAGCCAGACTCCCTAATGTGGAATTTATCCGAATTGTAAAATTACAATGAATGATCAATTATACAATTAAATCATCGATAATAATAATGATAATAATAATAATAGACTACACTGTAGCTTTTACAAATAATAATAATCATAATTGCACATAAGCTGTATGAGCTGTAAAAATAAATAAACTAACTATAGAAATGAATGATATATAGTCTTATTGGTCGAAACTAAAAAAAGATCATCAATGATTATCGTTAAAGCATAAAGGGAAGGAAGGAAAGGAATAGAACAGCTTACAGTTTGAATTCTCAAAGCAAATAAAGCAAATAATAAACTCTATAAAAAAAGTTTGTTTTTGTAACATAAAAATGTTACTATAACGTAATATTTCCAATTGTTTTTTGTTTTCATAGACAATTACAATAATCTCAAAAATTATGAGAAAGAATTATATTTCTAGTTAGATATAAAACATCAAGTGCCCATCATTATCATTATTATAATATAGTTTTGATTTCTAATATGATGGTGTGTGTGTGCAAGCAATAGTTTCATGCATCGTCGAATGAATCATTTAGACCCAATATAGTCCTCCGATCTGTCCATTCACCAACTTCACCATTATTATTATTTTCGCCCAAGTTATTTTCATCTCTTCCTTCTATTCCTTCTACTCCGAAATCTAATACTTCAAACCAAGTTACATTACTTCGTTGAACAGCAGCAACGCATCTTCGTTCATCAAATCTGACTTGCCTATAGTCCGAAATTCAAATCAAAGAAATATTAATAAAATTCGTTGCAATCGTCAAATATGTTAATAATAATGACATTAATACGCTACCATACGCCGCTTAAGCCTGTTAATAAATCACGAATAGGTTTACCGGTTTTCACATCCCACATTTTAAGTGTGCCATCAGATCCAGAAATTACTTTCTGGTCATCATGTTGGAAACAAGTGATAGCTCCAGTGTGTGCTGTTAGAACATGTCGACATGTACCGTCATTTGGATTCCATATGCGAAGGCTAGAGTCAGCTGCTGCCGAAACGAGGAAATCATGTGATAGATCAAGAAGACCAACCAAAGAAGAATGTCCTAAATAATATATATAACAAATCAGATTTTCTATCTCTGTATATATAAAAATATATTAGGACAATTACCTTCCAGAGTCCAGACACAAACTCCATCCTCCAAGCTCCAAACCTTTACTGTACCATCCATACTTCCACTCATACATCTCTTCCGCTTAGCATCCAATACAACAGAGTAAACTTTCTGCGTATGTCCCTGCAAACGCCAATGTAATTCGCCTGTCATAATGTTCCATACTCTGACCGTGCAATCATAACTACCACTCACTAAAGTATTACCAACCCCTGCCAATGCACGTACAGAATGCGTATGACCTTGTAGAGCACGCACGAAATATGGATTTTCATTTACATTATTATCAGACGGCGATAAAGGAATATTAGGAGTAAAGCTTGGATCGGTTGATGAATTCGGCAAACGCCAAACTCTTAGTGTGGAATCTCGTGATCCAGTTACGATTAACGGAATTGGAGGTTCTACTATTGGTGGTTCGTTGGGGTTTGTGTTTACATTCTTTGGGAGGATGATTTGTAAGCATCGGACTGTGCTTGTATGTCCTGGGAAGACATGTGTGCATACACCTCTTTCAATATCCCAGACACGAACAGTTCGATCAGTTGATCCAGAAACTAAAGTATTTTCAACGTATTGTAGAGCCCATACCCCACCATCATGACCTTCTAATCTTTTTCTTAATGTACCAGTTTTAGTGTCATAGACATTGATACATTGGTCGTCAGATCCGCTGATAATTTTATCGGAATCGAATTGAAGACAAGTCACTACATTTGGTCCATGTCCAGGGAATGAAATGTGCGTGGACCGACCATGAATCCAATTCTGACGAATGAGATAGTGACGTCGATAAATAGCTTTATAAGGATGCTCGGCGGAAGGTGGCAAAGGAAGAGTTTCTTCTGACATCTCCGGTCGATCACTGCTTTCTTGCGACATTCCATCAACATCACTATCATCACCAAAATATTGTCGATCATCATCATTTTGTGAATCTTCATTTCTAAAATTATTCCATTGACGATCTGATCGACCTTTTCCTTTGTCTGATTTTTGAGGTGTTACATAACGTCTAACACTATTGTAAGGCGTTGCATTGTTGCTGTTTGTTGCTTGATTTTTCGTTTGAGCGAAGGAATAGGATGATGATGATGAATCTCGAGTGTGATTATTTTCTTCTTTTATAAATTTCTCTTCGATGTCAAGTGACATTTCATCATGATAATTATTCGGCGATTTTTTAGAATCCTGGGGTGTATTTTCAATTTTCACGACAATATCTTCTTGTGTTATAGCCCTTTCAATTCTCATATCTTCGTCATTCTCTATTACAGTACGTTCTTCCGAAGAAGAAGCGCCACTCTCTTCTTTAACAGTGATATTACAGTTTAATTTGTTATTTCTATTAGTGGTTGAAAGTAAAGTTCCCCAATTTTCTAATATTGCACGGGATTCCTCCCCTTCATCAATACCAAATCCATCTGCTTCAAGACGACGCCTCCACGTGTACCCATCACCATCAATCACAGTCCGCCATCTCTTACTTACTTGCGCTGCCTTGCACATGCTTGGCGCATCTAAATACCTAACAATCTGCAAACTGAGTTCAAGCGGGAGCATCCCTAGAAAATCTCTCCTTAACGCAGGTAAAATTATGTTACTGACGTATTGCAGAGTATTTGTGGGACAACGTCTTAAAAGATGAAATAGCATGTATGATTGCATTGAGGATGGTAACGCATCAAAAGTGGATAACATCGTTGGTAAATCCAATAAACTTGGAACATGTGCTCCATTTGATCCGCCTTGCGATTCTTCCGGAGCCCAATTTTGAGCAATATGCAGTGAATTAGGAGTTGCCCCGTCTTCAATCATTGCATCATCGCTATTTTCAATCGAATGTTCAAAGAAATTATCAAATTGATTAGCACCATTAGAAGAATCAGCTCCGGCAATCGGGGAGAGTGATGGCGAGGGTAAAGCTGATGAATGAGTACTTCTTGTAGTAGATGGGGTGTCAATACCAAGGCTAGAAGTGCTAATTGTATTATTATAATGTCTAGTAGTAGTGCTGGTGGAAGATGATGAAATTGGTGGTAAAGTGATGGAAGATGAAGACGACGTAGAAGATTCAACTGGAAGATTTGAGCTCAGCTCGCTTTCTTCATCTTGCATCACTTTAACGGTTTTTGCTCGAGCTTTTTTATAAGGTGGTGATAATGATTTACGATCTTTTGTGGATTTTGTTCCATGTGAAAGGGAATTCAACTGTTGTTGTTGTTGTTGTTGACTAATATTAGAAGGATTTGCATCCAATGATATTTCAACAGGTGAAGCAGGCCTTTTACGTGGAACAATCCCACTACTTTTTCTTTCTGAAGGACTTGAAATAGTTTGTTGGGTTGTATCAGACTGCGACAATGAATCGGGAGTTGCTTGAATTGTTAAAACTGATGATTTTGAAATGGGTCCAGATGATGCTCGCATATTGTACAAAGCTTCTTGAAGCTATGAATTAATCGAAATCAATAACGCGTACATTAATAAAATTTGATATGAATTGTATAATTAATCAAAAGAACCATGAGAAATTCGAGAATATGCAAAATTTTCGAGAAAAGACACGAACTTTAATTATCGCTTCTTCCGAATCTTCATTTTCCCGAAAATAAGTTGGTTGACCATTAAGGTCAAAACAGAAACGCTTTAAAGCGGGAGGCGTAGGTGTATCAGCTAATGGATAATCTCTAGGATCCAATTCTTTTGGTAGAGGAGGAGGACGCAAAAGAAGCGGAGGAAAGGTGGTGGTTGTGGTAGTGGTGGTGGTCACTACCGTGGTAGTAGTTGTTGGTGCCAAAGAAATTGTAGCCGCGGTGGGCAACCTTCCAGGCTGATTCAAGTCTCTATTTATCAACATGCTCATCGGCGTTGCTTTAATTTTACTAGTGGTAGTGGTAGTGGTCGAGTTGAACGGTGCCAACGTGGAAACAGGCGTCGAAGGTGATGGAGTCTGAGCTAGGTCAAGTTCAACATTCGAATGCCCGACTTTGAGCGGCGGTTGTTCGTGGCTCATTGTTGACCAAGTGCGGCTTAGTCAAGAAGCAAAGGATACTCCTATTAGTTTAATGTTATATCTTTTTACGTGAGTGAAGAAACAACCGCGTGAATTGAAAAGCGCAGAGAACAATAGGATTGAAAAAAAAAAATGGAAAAAAAGTGTGGGTGAAAATAGATGAGAACAAAAGTATATATTTTTTTATATATATATACTGGTTTTTTTTTTACTTTGTTACTTTAGCCACGTAAAACTTTATCTGTATCAAATAATAACACGTGTGTGTATAATAAATATATTTTATTTTAAATAAAATATATACTGTATATTATATAAATTCTTTCCACACGGGTTAAGGCGCGTCGTTGTAGTCAACGAGAATAATAACACACAAACATACACACGAACACACTGTTAAAAAAAGAAAAAAGAAAAACTTACAAATATATATTATAAATAATTAAATAATAAAAAAGCACTACCCAGTACCACTAGTATCAAAATAAAATAAAGACAGGTATCAATAGAGGTAAGTGCTTTTTAAAGAGTTGAGTGCGAAAATAATTGCGGATAGTAATCCTCTCGACAGCGGTATTTCAAGTTTTTTTCTTTTTTTTTCACTTTTGTAATCGTTGTTAAGGTGTAAAAATGGTGTTGTTGGCTAGTAAAAGTAGTCGAGAAATTCGATAAAAAAAAACAAGGCTATTATAATTTTGAGATCTAAAAGGGAGAGGGTTATATATGTGTATGTGCCTTTTTTTCTAAGGATGTCTTGTTCTGCCAAGGTATATATTATATAGTTTATTCTATGTTATGTTATGTTATGTTATTTTATTTTATTTTATTTTATATAGTAACAATAATAAAATAATAATAATAATAATAATGAGGAAAAGTAAAAAAAAAAAAATAAAGTGTGCGAGTGTTGTTTGTGCTTTTTATTTAGAGTCGGTAATAAGTAAAACTGGTAAAATATTGGTCGGTCGAAAAGTTTCGTAAAGTGAAGCAACAACTGTCGTTGTGCATAATGATGCGCACAAAATAGGGGGGGTCTAATTGTTGTAGACAAACTATTGAGTAATCAATTAGAAAGACGCCTGACCCCGAGCTACGTTGTTAAATTGCTGATGATAGTGAATGTGTGTAATATCATCATCAAATTGAACGATGTTGATTACTACGATGATGGAGATTATTATTATGCATCAATCCGTTTGAACATGCAGCGTCCCAAAAATTAAAAAAAACCCATTGTCATAAACCCATAAAATAATTTCTGGGGCCTATGATGATCAAATTAATTCCTGCAATCTGATTACTAGCCGATTTTGAAACTATGAATCAGTAATAAGTTATCCGATACCGATAATAAGATTCACGCCGCAAAAAATTATTACTACTATATTTATCTGATCAAATTATAAATCCGGAAATATTTCCGAACAAATTATATAACGACGACAACAATAATAATGCTAACTAACAAAAAAATTATTATTAATGAGGAGTCCAGATGATTAACCAACACCAACCAAGCTACCAATAATATGAAGATGACAACAATAAAAAGAATATGGAAACGAGTATCCGAAGAGCTCAGGGGTGTAGATTAGATGGGGGTAAAATAAATAATACAAAAATTAGATATGTTTAGATTAGATCTTTTCAGAAAATCCATCATCGCCATTATTCTCAACTTTTATCCCCATTTTATCAAAGGTAGAAAAGTCCATTAATTTATCTTCACTTCCACGTGACGTCGCGATTGAATTATTTTCCATTATAGGAGATTCTTGCCCTATGGGTAATATTCTATCTTCCTCCTTTTCCTCTTCCTCCTCGTCATCATTAATAACATCAGATGGACTTCTACACCCCCCGGTATATGATGAAGATGTGGATATTTTCACGATAGGAGGTGGTGATGCGGTTGATGGTGTTGTTTTTAAAGAGTTGGGTATTGCAGGGTTGGTGGCATTCGAAAAAGCGGCGTTGTTAGATTTCACAGTCTCGTCAGGTGTTGTTGTCGTAGCAGATGTAGTAATGTGATGATGATTAGTTGTGGTGGTAGTGGCGGTGACTGGTGTATTGTTGATCAAAATATAGGGAGACATCTCGACTGCTGCCATTGAAACCTCGGTTGTCTTGTGTTGTTCGTTTGTACTAATATCATTTCCGAAATTTGATGAAAAGTTGGCTAGCGTCGGTGACCATTTGCTAGGAGCTTCCTGAATTATTTTTTAAATATTTTGGCATCATTAATCAAAATAAAATCTCTCAAAGATCTTTTGCGTGAAATAGTTAGGAAACCTCTTCATCACTGTCATCTCCATAGTCATCGTCCAGCGAAGACTGTCGATTTTCGAAATCTCTCTACATGACAATGATAATATTTATTTATATATTCTTTCGATGTGATGAAAGTTTCAAAAATATAATATAAAAAATAGAGAATTCTCACGTCATTCACATTTGGATTGAAATCATCCCTGTTCAATCGAATATTCGTTTAAATTAATTTTAGTAAAGACAATAACCGATTCGTTATTAATAAACTAACCCCATCCAGCTGTCATCCTCATCTTCATCTTCGTCCGATGAATTAAACTTGTCATGATTAGTGATTTGTTGACATAAATATCGAGCAAACTGTGTTAAAATCATTACGAAAAACTTATTTGAGTATTCATTCTTTATTTCTCAATTTTATTTGTGATAATTACTTGATGGCTAGCTATATCACCATTATCAGGAACAGCGGTGGGCTCAATTGAATCATCCTCCTCGTCTTCGCTCTCTTCGTGACTCGGCGACAAATCGTGTTCATTGGGCCTTTGGCCACCTAAAGGTGCACGATCACGTTCTCGTGTTTCACGAAGAGTTTTTGACACATATTCCTGCCATTCTGGTGCCTCGATATACTCTAGATGTAGGGTTAATAAAAGTTTTATTAAAACAACTTTTAATCGCAAAATTGAATGAAATTCACAAAGGTAAACTTAAATTCCAACCTCTCACTTTCTCACCAATGTCCACTGCATATCGATCCAGTAATTTGACAACCTCTTCAGCGATGAATGTTAAATGTCCCATATAACCTAATCTCACCCCTTTAGGCTCCTTCCTAAGTTTCGATATTTATTTATCAAAAGTAAATTAGCTCCAAAATTATAATAATCGAAAATTAGAGTTTTAATAGCATACACTTTTTTCTCATTGGTTTTTTGAGCTTCCGTAATTCTTTTGGTTAACTTGCCATCTGTAAATACCTAATAACAATACATTAAAACATAAGTCAACGAAAATAAAGACAAAAGACTCAAAATAATTATTAAATCATCATTACAGATATGGCCAATTCTTTATTTCGACCAATATCCATTCGTCTATTGAAAATCTGGGCAATCATATCGTAAACAACTGTATGCAGGAAATTGTTCCACTTGAAAGTGAAGAACAAATCCTGAAATATTTAAAAGTTTTATGTTGTTATATAAATAGATCATTCATATTTTGCGAGGAATAAACAAAATCTCACCAGACAAGTTGGAATGATTTTATGCTCGATGAATTTCTCTTTAAGCAGATCACCAACTGGTATATTATTTTGATTTTGCGTGGCTAATTGATTACTATTTTTGTTTGATTCCACAGAATTGTTTATTGTCTGCCCATGTTCATTTTCAACAGTGTCCATAGGTAAAGTCGAGTCAATTGAATTTCCAGGCAGGTCAGAATTTGTCTCTTGTTGCGTGGTGGACTTTGTGGAGTTTATCGAGTCGAGAGATGAACTGTAACCTTTTTGTTCTTGTTCTGGCACTACTGACACAAAAGTAGAATCTGCGTGTTCATAATCACTATAGTTGTTATTTGAATTTTGAATACCAAATAAGCCGTTTGAAGAAGACTCGGGACGAATTGTATTCATTAAACTCATATTAGAGCAATGAATTAATTCAGCAAAAAGTTCGCAAATTCTAAATCGTTCAAAGCCAAGTGGAACCATTTTCCCTATCGTAGTCTCGATAGGTTTCGTCTTAAAGAAATAATAAATTAGAACATTAGGCAATTGAACACTAATAAATAAAGTCGAGTTTTTTATATACCACTGATTTGGGACTCTCTAGTAATTTCTTAAATTCTCCAATACGATTAGCCAAAACTCTTAACATTTCACTCAAATCAACCACCGAATTGTGTTGATTGTGTTGTACTAGAGATAACATCGCCTCTTCATTGTAATCACTAAAGTTGGAAGAAAGTAAAATAAGCTTGAGGGTAAAAATAATTTCTTCTAATACTAAGCTATGAGTAACTGACCAATTATTTTTCTGAATTATTTGAATAAATATACCAACACCATTTATTAGAGTGGATGTTGAGCCAGAGGATTTCACGTCAAGCATATAATCAACAAGTCGCGAAACTATCTTTTCACTGCGCAAGAATAAGTTCATAAATGACCATTTTATATAAACGAAATAAAATTACACTTATATTTACCTAATAAGTTCTCTACTCAAGGCGTTCGGTCCAACGCCTCCTTGCTCGGGATTACTCGATTGAGATATTGATATTATATCGTTTAAAACTTGAGCAGCCGTTGAATGTATCTTGAAAAGTGAAAATAATCATCATTAAAAAATCTTTCATAAAATCAATTTCAGAGTACCGTATTTAGTCTTACGTCGGGATCAAGATTAGGATCCAATTTGGAAATTAAAGACTGAATAAGTCCTTCCGAATTCAGCCACTAAACTCAGCAGGAATTTAAAAATTAATGTAAGCCACAATAAATCAATCAATCAATTTATTGTTAATTAATAATCTTACATCGACAACCCCAGCACCCTCTGGATACTCCTCAACGCTGATCAATTTCAATAATAAATCCATGATTGCTGAAGTTTCCATATGTGTCAATAATTTGTTGACGACCTTTGGTATAGATCGTATGAATTTTACCATCTACATTAATTTTAAATAGCGAAGATATTTTTGAATGCCTCGTATTATTTGATAAATCAAATTTAAATTAACAACCAACCTCGCTTGTTTTCCTTGATAAAAACACCGCGTTCACTTTTACGAAATAGCTTGCTTGCAATGGATTTAATGGTGGTGGGCGATCCAAAAGTTGCCAGAAAGAAGCAAGTAAGTCAGGGTTATCAATTACAGCCTCACAAATGGCCCAAATTTCACAAGAGAGAACTTCGCAAGCGACATATGGATATCTTTAAGGGATTATCCACAAATCAAAATTATTCAAATTAAAAAAAATAAAAGGTCGTTGATAATTTATAGAATAAAAAAAGTTGCAAGAGATCAATCAATAGCCGCTGCCAACGAAAACTCACTTGAAACGTTGTCTATCATCCAAATCTTCCTGAATAATATATTGTAGTAGTTGGGAAAGTATATTTGGCCGACGAAGGCTGATTAACGTAGTTTGCAAACTTAGTTAGTATGAGGTAAGACAAAGAAAGTGATTGTTCTGAATCTAAACATACTAATCAATTAATTTATTGTTTTGTGTTTTGCATTCTTGTAATAAGTCATCTTCTTCCAGTAGTTCTTGTAGAGTTAGATCTTCTTTGTCTAAGAGGCCATCAATGGCTGAGGGGTTTAAGCCAAAGCGCCAAAACATTTTAAAGTTACTTTTTAGCCAAGACAAGTTGTCAGTTTTGTAGAGCTCGAAACCGAGTTAGTATATTTATAATTCTGAGAAGTTGGACCTAACAATATTTTGCTATCATTCAGTTTACTATTCGCTATAATTTGAAATGCTATTTGATGTTACAAAAAAATGGGTTTTTAAAATTTTAGCATTGTTAGTGTAGCAAATAGGAATGGACCATAATTTACGTTCCGGGCCGTTGGGCCAGGAATGATGAATTCAATAAAAAATTCACAATGTATAGTGCAAAAATTCATGTTGCTACATCAATGGTATTTTAATTTAACAAGCAGACCAATCAATCGTCGTTCTCATTGTCAATTTTAACCGTTTATTTTTAAATTTATCCTTTGCAATTATCAAAAATCCATTATATCGTTATATCGAGTTTCACAAAACCAGGATTGGCAGTCACCGTCTAAATCTTATCGTTATTACGTTGTCGTCATACCGATGATCGAGAACAACTCATATTTCGCTTTTTTTCAAGATTCGAACTACCATCGGATGCGAGTATAAAAATATAATAAACAGTCATAGATATTAGTTAACCTCTCTTCAAATGCGACTGTATGATCCTGACAAATCGAGAGGTTGACTAATCTAGCAAGTTGATGATCACCTAATGGTTGCAGCCGAAATATTAATTCCTACTCGTTAAAAAAGGCCCCCTTAATCGTTAATACATTTACAGAAATTATAACTTGTCAAATAAATGTCTATTAAAATTAAGGCTGAGAAACAGAAAGATTCCCTTTTTTGGGGACAATGGTATAATGATTGTTAATTAAAAGATCCATCTTATATGGTTTTGCAAAATTATTAAAAAGTAAAAAAAAAAAATTTATTCTCAATTAAAAAATGACAATAATGATAATAATACAACACAATACCAATAATAATATTGATAAAACTCTATTTAAAGTATTTCTCAACACGAACTTCACCCAAACGTTCACTTTTAGTCCAATGTATCTTCATATCTTCTAATATTGCATCTTTTTCAACAAATCTTTCCTTAACCCATTCGGCGATATTTTCCTCATCCCTCGGTAAATCTTCTATTGCGTATCTTCGTACATGCACATGAAAAGACCAAGGTGGTGATAAATTGGAATAACTATGTACTTGTACAAGATTTGGCGGTAATTGTATTCCTTTAGTGACGTGACGATATGCAATTGTAAAATCTAAGGGAATATTTTAGTAATAATTAGAGAAATGATGCTATTTAACGGGAACGAATATATTTGGATTAGTAAATACCATATACAAATTTCACGTGAGTATCTCGTAATTGACTAAGACAAGCGATGAATCCTTTGGTACGTGGGACCAATAAATTTTGTAATATTGGTAAGCCGCGTTCTTTTGAGAATTTTTGGCCCTATCAAATGCACAGTGATTAATATTTATCACTTTTTGATAAATGCGTATCGCAATGATTGGGAAATAAATAAATACCAATAGAAAATGATAGTGTTTATACCTCTCTAACTTTTTGTGGTGTCATCCTGGTTCCTTCTAAAAAGTTTACCACCCAAACTGGAGCTCTGTATTGTTTTATTGCGTTAAACGTTTTTTTTAGTCGAACTTCATCCTAAATCAAGAAATTCTAATTAAGAAAATCTATCACGCGAAAAAAAACCATAATCCTTCCAATTCAAAGCTTACTTGAGTCCAGTTTCTTTTAATAAAGAGCATACCCATTAACTAGTGGATTAAAAAATATATATCAAAGTATATATATATATATATAAGTATATAATCGAAAGAAATGGTGTCATCTTTCATTATTTAACCTACCCACATTCCAAAGCCAAAAAATGGAATCTACGAAGCAGAATTGATTATTACTATTACCATGATTATGGAATTAAAAAGGAGTGATCTCTTAGGAAGAATAATCATAATACTGATACTTACATATTTTAATGAATCTTTAGCAAAATATTTTACATGTGGTAACATACTCTTCCGGACCGCCACTGAATGTAACATATAGAAATCGGTAAATGATCGATGATTACTGATCACTATAGCGCTTTCATTATGTGGTAATTTGTCTCCTGAAAATGTGATCTTTGCGCTATGTCGACGCTAATGATCGAGAAACGATGGATCAAATCAACTGACATGAAATAATAAGCTAAATCAAGTTCACGAGAAACTCTATACTCACTTCAAAGATATACTAAAATAAATGGATCCCAAGTATCAATATTAATAATGCTAGTAAATTTAACCCAAAGAAACTCTCGCACTCTACGAAATTACCTGCATAACCCACCACATAGTTTGTGCCCCGCGTGCATTTATATCCCAAACAAGTCGTCGTGAAATTGGCACAAATAAAAACGAGCAAAGCTGCACTATATTAATTCCAATCGCAAGGCTAAACACATATGTACGCGAATATATACATAATGTTATTATGATATGTCAAATCGGGAAAACGTCGTTTTTTTGAAGAGACTCACATTGTTATTACTATAATAAATTTTGAAAATGCAGATTTCAGGCCCCGATAAAATAACAAACCTAAATAATGCGGTTCCATATAACCAAGCGCGTATCGCTCGAGGTAACTGACGCAATACCATCTTGTCATATACAATCACAAGAGAGAACGCAAAAAGTAGGAAAAGTGCAGAGGATGTTATCATATAGATAATTTATTTTATTTTATTTTTTTTTAATGATTCAAATAAAAGACGAGCCTATCTACCTTAATAAAACGTGAAGAATATTGTATATATATAAACCAAAATAGGAAGAAGAGTCTGTCGTGTGTGCATAAAAAAATCGAAGCTGCACATTTATCTTGTCAGATGCCCCCCCAAAGTATGGCACTCTAGATTTGACTGGTTTGATTTCTCTGCAGATAGCTGATAAGATAAAAATATCTTGTTTATTACAATGTCATAATGTAAATAATGGTTTTTACACAATAAATATAAAAGATATAGGACGAGAAGATTATTACAAAGGTTTATTAATAAGCGATGGCACAGGATGCTTTTGATAGAATACTATAGTATTCTTTGCCTTTTCTACTAAATTTTCAGGGGTAAATCCATATTTTTCGTAAATCTGTTTGTATGGACCAGAAGATCCGAATGTGGTCATACCAACAGAGGCGTGTGCATATTTAGACCAACCAAAAGTCGCTAACGCTTCAATGCTCAATACTGGAACACCGTCGGGGAAAACGGATCTTTTATATTCAATATCTTGCTCTTCAAAGAGTTCAAGTGATGGAAGAGAAACTACGCGAGTCTTTATTCCTTCCTGATTCAATCGGTTTGCTGCTTCTACTGCGATCGATATCTCAGATCCAGTGCCTGTTAACGTGATTTGGGCACCTTCAACTTCTTGAAGAACATAACCACCCAGTAAAGTTTTCTCGACAGATGATCCTTCTAATTGAGGGAGATTTTGACGAGATAATGCTAATACAGAAGGTCGATGAAGATTTTCGATAGCTGCGAGATAGGCTCCGGAAACTTCATTGCCATCTGCAGGACGAAAAACTAAAATATTGGGTAATGCTCGTAGTCCAGCGAGTGTTTCGATAGGTTGATGGGTTGGCCCATCTTCACCTTTATATTGCGATAACGAAATATGATTAATTTTAATTGATTATAGACATAAAAGTCAAACAAATACTTGCCCAATCCAATAGAATCATGAGTCATGACGTAAATAACACGTTGTGACGATAGCGCAGATAAACGAACAGAACCCAGAGCATAGCTAATAAAATTCAAGAATGAACCGCCAAAAGGTATCAAACCACCGTAGGCAGAAATTCCATTCATGATTCCAGCCATTCCATGTTCTCGAACACCATAGCGAATATAACGTCCAGAGCATTTTCCCAAATTAATGGAGTCCGGTTGAAAATCAACAGCCGTTTTCCATCGAGTTAAATTAGAGCCAGTTAAATCAGCAGAACCTCCAATAAGTTCGGGTAATATATCAGCAATTTTGTTCAATACATTCTCTGATAATTTCCTAGTGGCGAGTGCCGGGTCCGCCGGAGTATAACGTGGTAAATGATCTGCCCAATTTTCTGGAAGTTTTTTTGAGAATCTACGTTTTATCTCTGCTCCCTTTTATTAACCAGACATTATTGTTTTTTCATAAACGAATTAATTATTTAGATATTTTTAAGAAACAAAGGCTTGAATTTACCTCATGAGGATATTGTTGTGTATAGTTCTCTAAAAGTTCGTTCCATTGCCTTTCAGCATGCGCACCTTTTTGGTTGAATTCTTTGTATTTTTCATATACCTTTAAAAAAGTAATTTTATAAAGTACATAAGTAAAATCTAAAAAAAAATTTGCATACATAACAAGTGAGTGATAAGAATAGTTCATACCTCTTCTGGTACATAAAAATATTTGTCAGGATCAAAACCATAAAGCTTTTTCACTTCTACTATATCATCGTGTGATAATGGACTGCCGTGTACTTTTTCAGTGCCTTGGAATTTCGATCCGATTCCAATAGTGGTTCGAATTTTTATTAATGACGGCTTATTTTTGATTTTCTTTGCTTCTTCAATACTTTTGGTAATTCCTTCTAAATCATTATCACCATCAGCTATAAACTGTGTGTGCCAACCATAAGCTTCAAAACGCTTCAGGACATCTTCAGTGAAGCTAATTTCGGTATCACCTTTATGAAAAAAATTATTAATATTGAATTTACTTACTGCAGCTAACAATATAAGAAATTTACCATCAATAGACACATGATTATCATCATAAAGAACAATCAAATTCCCAAGTTGTAAATGACTAAATTGCAATAATTACATTTAATACAAAATATGTGTCAATTAAAAAAAAAACAATATTTATTATTACCCGGCAAGAGAAGCTGCTTCGGAAGCAACTCCTTCTTGAAGACAACCATCACCAGTAATGACGTAGGTGTGGTTTGTGAATAAATCAAACCCTGGTTTGTTAAAAACCGCCGATAAATGAGTTTGAGCAATTGCCAGTCCGACAGAATTTGCAAAGCCTAATCGATAGAAAAATATTAGTGAGAGACTGAATCGAATTTAATATACCACAAAATTTCTAATTATACCTTGACCAAGAGGTCCTGTGGTAACTTCGATGCCAGGAGTCAAATGAGATTCCGGATGTCCAGGCGTTCTAATTACGTAAAGAGTCCATCAGAGTTCATATACTAAAAAAATTAATTTTTCAATATTTATTCACTCACTTGCTATCAGTCTGACGGAATGCTTTTAGATCGTCCATGGTAAGATCATAGCCCATCAGATGTAAGAGAATATAGTGCAAGGCACAACCATGACCATTTGACAGAACAAATCGATCTCGATTTGGCTAATTATATTTTAAATTTTGCGAATTTAAGTAATTAGAAAAGAAAGGCGTTTTCAAATAGATTAAATATGCATCTAAAATTTTTTTGATCACGAGCTCATGTAATGTGAACTAGAAAAGTTTACCCATATCGGATTTGCTGGGTTGGTAGTTATAAATCTCGAAAAGAGTACATGTGCCATTGGTGCACATCCCATAGGAGCCCCTATGAAAAAGAAATTTAATAAGAATTGGTTAAACAACGAAGACTGGATAAAAATGCCGGCACAACGCGTCCATATCATGTAACTTTACCAGGATGTCCCGAGTTGGCCTTGCGCACAACATCAGCTGCCAAAGTACGAATGGTATTAATTGAAAGTTTATCAATTTGAGAAGTCATGTCAGCAAATTTTCTGTTAAGAAAGGATTTTTCTTTAAAGAAAACAGCTCTCTTTAAATAAATGATTAGATCTGATAATTAAAAAAAACTTGCAGATCCCTCGAGAACAATATTAGTAAACATGCATATGTGGGAAAGATTTACGGTTTGGAGCATTAAACTTTAATGACTAACCCATACTATTACTAATACCATATACATAAGCGGAATAATTAATTCTTTATCGTTATCGTGTGTCAGAATAATGAAATCTAATATGTTACATAACGACTAAATCGATATTCAGTAAATGAAAAAATCCACACATGCATTGCCGATCAATAAAGACAAATAATCTTTCGAATTCCTGGTGCATTTTTGTTTAATCTGGTGTTTTGTCATCTATAGAATTTCCTTTTTAAATTATAAAAAAGTTTTAAGCCAATCAATTTCTTTATTCATACTATAAAATCTTTCATTAATAAAATAAAGTAATCTTTTTTAATAAAATCTGTATTAATTATAATTGCTTGAAAATTATATTATCAGATAAAATTTATTTTTATTATGATCTGGTGCAAAAAGATTGATATATCAATATAAAATTAATAATTATTTCTAATAAAAATCATTTAAATTTTAACTAATCTTTATAATTTTTTATATTAAATAAAAAATAATCTTTTTATATTATTTTAATTATTTTATTATACTTTAATTTAATAATAAATAAAGCATTACTTTACTAAAAAAACTAAAATAAAATTATTTTTTAAAAAAAAAATATTTTAATATTATTATTATTAGTTTGAGTTACATGTAACTTCATAATATAATTAAATTATACAAAAATTTCATTTTTGATATATCAGAAGTTTCATTTTTAATAAATTAACAAGTATCACAAATTTAGATTCTGTTTTTGATATATTCATATTAAAATTATATTTTTATTTTTATTTTAAGATTTATCTGTTATATTATTATTAGTTATATTCATGATATCAAATAAATAATTATAACTTATTTATAATATTTCACAATTCTCTTTCTTTTTCAAGTATAATGAATATTTTTTGCTAGAAATATAATAGTAGTTGATTTATTATATTATATTATTATAATGATTTATTTATTAACTAGCAAATATAGGTGATGATAATTATAATATATAATAAAGATATCAGAATCTATCAATTATTATATTAATATGAATAAAACTACTAAATATTAATAGAAATTATTTTTTTAAAGCTAAGTATTCAAATATTATTAATACTTTTCTGCAAGTTTTATCAATTTTCTCTGCAGAATATGATAATTTCTGCCAAATATATAGATTTTGAATTAATATTAAAGTCTTAATAATCATATTAAAACAAATTTGAAAACTTGAACTTAATAATAAAGTCTGAAACTTATTATAATAGAATTTTTTATAAGACTGATAAATATAATTTTAGTACTGAAAAATAAGTTAAATAAAAAATTAATCAATTTATTAATATTATTTATTAATCTTTTACTATTAGTTCCCATTTTAAATTTCTGATACTTTGTATTTTGTATTTTTATACAAATAGTAGCAAGTCTTTATTAGTTATTTGAATATTTAAAATTTGATTAGTCTTATGAGACTTTATAAACAACTTAAAAGAAATACTCACATTACTTCATTATTTTTAATTTAGTTTAAAAAAATAAAAGAAATCTATACAAACTGAAGATTACAAACTGAATAGATAAAAAATTTTATCCTTTAAAAAAAGGCTAATTAGTAATTGAATCAGAATATTTGATATATATAATACTAATTAGATAATTATCTTAAGAGATATAAAGATATATTATATAATTGTAAGTATTTTTTACTGATCCAGAGTATACTATTTTATTTTTTTAATCAGCTAGCAATATCCTTTCTTTATTTTTAAAATATATCACTAGTTTATTCTTGATCTTTTTTATAGAATTTTTTATAATTTGACTTCTTAGCTTCTGAAAATATTTGAGTAATATGATAATACTTATAAATATCATAAAATAATTCTTTCTAAATATAGTCTAAACTAGTGATAGAAACTATAATTAGCTGTAATTCTGTCACAATTCTCTGATTAACTACTATAATTCTATTATAATTTTTTGATTAGCTATCATAAGCTATAACTAGTTGAGAAATTATCTTTAGTTTAAATAGAATAGATATTTATTAATCATAATATTAGTCAGATAATATCTCTTTTTTGACTTGATTTCAAAGATTACAAAGAGCTTTTTTATTATAAGCTAAAGATATTAGAAATAATTTTCATTTATATGAATAAGTTTCTTATTTAATAATTGATATTCAGTTAGTAAACTTTGATTTTTCTTAATAAAATAATAATCTGAATTATAATCTTCTTATTATGTATTATAATATATCCAAATAATTCACATAGAAAAATCAGAATATAATATTATATCAAGAAAATTCACACAGAAGATTCAAGATATAAGTAATGTTATTTGAAATAGAATTCACACAGAAAACTAAATCAAAAGCAGACAAGAAATTATGTTTAAAACTTATTCTTTATTC